CTCATAACTGTCTTTGCCATCTGGTCAATGGCTCTGCATCTCACCACTTGCAACCCTGTAGGAGTGGAGATGAGGCTAATGCCGAAAGAACACATGAGGTCTCTGCCCATTAGATTAATGGGACAGCAAGAGGACAGCAAAAAGGAATGTTTTACTGTGATGTCTGGTTCAGGGTCAGTTGAGTCAGTGTGTGTACTGGTCATAGGTGCCGTAAATCTCTCTACAATAGTCATCCCTGAAGCTCCTTGTGAGAAAACCTGTTTTCCACCAAGTTTCTGACCTGGAAAATACTTTTGTTGTATTACAGAATGTGTAGCCCCTGAATCAACCAAAAACGATAAAAGTTTCCCTTGAATTTGCACCATAGTGGTGGGCATATTTTCAAATGATTTTCCTGAAAACTTTGCATATGTGTGTTTAAGTGAAAGCTTTTGTTGTGTTCTCCATTGCTCTGTGATGTCCACGAGAGCTTGTTGTTGCTCTGGTGTGTGTGTGTGTGTGTGTGTGAGTGTGCGTGTAGGGAGTTAGTGCAGAAAGCGTTTCTTCATTGCCGGCTGCGGTGTGTGTGTGTTTTACTTCCCTTATCATGTGAGGCCTCAGCATGGTTGCCGTCTCCCCCTCACATGCAGCCTCCTCCCCCTCCGCCTCACGTCAATCGGAATGTGCGTTGCCACCCCTTCCTCGTCTGGCCAGTCCACGCCCCCATCCTCTACGAGGTGCATTTTGTGGACATTCTCTGTGCCAATGTCCCTGTTCGCCACAGCGGAAACACGTATCATTGTCATTGGGTGGAGACAGCTGTGATCCCTCCTGGTTCCAGGAGGAGCGTCCACTCGTCATGCCCCGACCACGCCCCCTGAATCCGCCCCGTTGGTTGGGATCCCGTGGGCGGTCGTTTCTGGCAAGTTGAGTGACAGCTTGGAGCATAGTCAGTTGGGCGAGTTCAATCTGACGTGACCGCCTTTTCCCCTCGTGGTCAGTTCTCTCTATGTCCATGGATTGCGCATGCGCAGCATGTTTCTTTACATCCGCGAGTCGCGAGTCTTCCATTCCAGCCACAGAGCGCTGCACATTCATTTTTATGTCGGGCAATAGTCCATTCATGAAAGCATTCTTCAGGTGTGATTCCCACGTCCCCAGAGCGTCTCCTGTTGGTTCGCAGGGGAAGCAGGGTACGGTGGTGGGCATGTGTTGAGGAGAGGGCCCCCAGCCCCTGTGAGACTCGGATACAAGGGAGAAGAAGCACATCGGTCATTTTGTTCAATAACATTTGGATCTGGTTTTTCAACCAATGTGGTTTTTGCGCATATCAATTCTTTAGCCATTTGTTTCCTTTCTCTACATTCACATTCATCCTCCCACCATTTTAACCATTTACTTTGTTTCTCAATGTCCTCCAGTCTTTGCCTTTTATCACCCTCTGAGTTTTTATACCCTTCTCTTTTCCCTCTAAGCCTGTTCGTAACATGTTCAGTTTTATTCTACTGAAAGAATCATTTGCAGGGAACCCAAAATCTTTTGACCACTCGGGCAAAAACTCTAGAGATTGATCTCCATATTTCCTTCTCATCAGATCCACAATGGGTCCCTCCGGAGAACCCATTTCCTTTTTACTTTTACCGTGTACACCACCCATCTTTCAGGCGTGGTGAAGTATACTTTTTATTACTTAAAATATAGTCGTCACTATAAGTCTTGATTTTCTTTTACGTAGGAAAAATACAAGTTAAAACCCAACCAGAACTATTGGTCAATAAATATAGGTCAAGGGCGCAAATATCTGTTTTCAGATTACTGTCCGAAAACCCCGATATTGTTCCTGTCTTCCTGTTAGGTCAAGGGCTGAGATTTTGCGATTTCAGTGAACTCTCAAAACCCCTCCTATCTTCCCCTTCGGTAAAGGGTCACAATTGTCAATTGCCCCTGTCTTCCCCTTTGGTCAAGGGTCACAATTATGCATTTTCAGAGTGTTAGTCTGAATACAATCGTAAATCTGCACATTGCTCCCTGTCTTCCTCAGTAAAAAGTTGGATGCTGATGAACCGGAAATACTGCATAATTACTCTTATAATTTTATACACATTTTTCAAATAACCGGATAAAAAGACAAGTTATCATCATTAGAAGCCCAATCAAATAACCGAAATTTGGATTTTCTAAGAAGAGAGAGAAAAAATAAATTAAAAAATCCCAAAGTACTAAATACCCGTCTTTGTAATCTGTTATCACCCGTTATAATTCAGAAAGCCCCGTTTGAAAATCAGAATATCAACTTCTTACCCGATTCGTGTGAAAATCTTCCTCATCGGATCGTGTTGAAGCCAATCAGGTCTCTTCTGGTCGCCGGTCCCCTCTCTCTGAGTGTGATGAGGTATAGGGCAGAATCACGTCTTGGTGGATCCTGAAGGGGCCCCTTCCCGGACGTCCTCGGAGTCCCGACGGAGCTTCAAACGATCCCACTTCTGACACCAAATTGTGGTGGAAGATTTTGCACAGACAATCGTTAAGTAAGAAACAAAGGCTCTGAGTCAAGTATGTCTTTTCTCCGTTTATTTCCTTGCAAGGGAAAAAGGGTCATAACAGCTACGTGGTCAGTAGACTGTCAAGAACCTCCTTTTTTTCCCCCAACACATCGAGGCAGTTCTTATACCTAAGTTTAGATATCGGTGGCGTCAACAGAAACCTTTGACCATCTTGTTGAGTATCTACAGCCAGGGTACTGGGAACATCTTATCCATGTAAGACACGTCAGTTCTTTGACCGTGTCCTTGCTCTCCCAACATGCTAAAACAAAGGTGGTCATAGACATAACAAACACTTTGTTCAATCTCTACAGCTATGACGCTGGAACCATCTAATCCAAGAGGGAGACGTCAGTTCGTATGTCAGGGCCTTTGTGATCTAACCACTTGCAACTAATAAACTGGTTATACAAATGAAGCATTTAAAAGGGTTACATATCATTTTCCCATTACAAAGTGTGCACCAATTATCTTACTGAAATGATCACGATCATGAAATGACTAAATTTCTAATAGGAAGACTAGTCATTTGGAGGAAGCCCTAACTCACCTAACAGTTACTGTGTTCATTAACAACAACCGAGACCATAATGACTAATTGATTAATTGCACAGTCTATTATTTCGCTCCTGCAACCCAGTAGATCTGAAAGGGCCCCGGCTGGAGTTAACAGTCTTATTGGAGAGACGCGTTCCTCGCAAGGAACAATAAGGGAAAATAGCGGAATTAATTGGGTTTGATTAAGGGAGCTTTTCAATGGGACACAGCTTTTTTGCATGACATAATTAGAGGTCAGTGAAGAGAGGGTGGAAGGGGGGGGATTTGCCTGTTGGCGCCAGTGTTGTGTGGGTGTGTCTGTGAGAGAGAGACTGATAGACAGACAGACAGAGAGAGAGAGGGAGGGACGCTTCCTGCACACTTGTAGAGCTATGGTGTGTGTCTGATGTGGTATATTTCTATAGGCTCACTCACCAGAAAACCCACAGTGTTCACAGGGGGGCCTCTGTGTGTGATTATTATCACTACACTTGTCAGCATTAAAGGCACAGTGCTCGGCCTTTTGTTATAGCTACATGCTCATTAGCAGTGCACTGCAGAGACAATGTTAGTGAATAGAAGAGGGTGGTGACACAAGAGGACATTCAGTCATGTTTTTGGATGATACAAACAGAAACACACACTATGAATTCATAATACTGTTACAGTGTATTGGAAAAAGCAGCGTACACAATCCATCGGATCAAATATTACATCTGACCTGTCATGACCACGCCTGATTAGATTAACAAATATTTCATCGCGGGTCTCCATCTGCAGGTTTATTTTTCACATAACAGTTTTGATTTCACTTGTTCTTTGTTTGACAGGGATTATGGACACATTCGCCCCCAAACCGTTCAGAGAAGTGAAACCCACAGACAGCAGGCATCCAACTAATCGAACAAGTGTCCTTGAGCAAGGCATTAGACCGCAAGCTACATGGGCATTGTCTAGGATACTTTGTGTTTTCCTCTGCATCCTTTTTTCCGTCAGCCACAGACTCCAGACCAGCTGTACCAATGAGCTTATTCTCTATTGGCATTAGCTGCCTTTTCCTTCTTCCCCAGGACACTACAGCGTAGAGGATGTTACTGGCCACCACAGAGTGATAAAAGATTGTAAAACGTGAGTCTTCTGAGAAAACACTGGCGGCTCTGACATTTCTTGTACTGTGTTTTTAATCCAGTCCATATAATCGTGTGGACGTCCAGGTATTTGCAATCCTCTATTTCCCTAATGTTCCTTGGCCTTGAGTAAATGATTGTTCGTTATATCGTCCCACAACGGCATATTTGTTACTACAGTGAAAAAGCAATGTTATTAAAACTTTGATGTAATTATCTCTTCAATTAATACAATTTGTTATGTACTCTATACTGATGAAATTGAACTTTGTTGTTGTCATTTTTTTTTGCATGGATATGTTTGAACATGTCCTGAAATCACATAGAGATTCACAATGTTTTGATCAGGATGGGGGCGTAATAAAGTGTTAAAGTACGTCTGGATGGTACAGAACACGGATTGCCTGACAGAATTTTTGACGCTGGATGGGTCTGAGTTCGGAGATAGAATTAGGACGCCCTCTATGGTCGAGACTTGGACACGACAAGAAAACCACTCATAATAACAACAAAGCGAAAACATACATTCGCACATCCACTTCATCGTTGGAAACTTTTTAGTTTGATCTAACGTTACACCATATCGACTATTTTACAGATCTAACGTTAGTTGATTTAGACCGCTTCACCTATTTGCTGAAATAAATAGTCGCATCTGAAGACTATTCCCGTGTGATAAACGTTCGTATTGTAAGATAGAACGTGCATTTTAGTATCGATGGTGAAATATCGGTTGTGAAATACTTGAAATACTTCCTGAACTTCAACTCCTGAAATGTAGCATTTCCGTATTTTGATTTGAAAGTCATACGTCACCGGGTGGACAAAACTCCCACAATGCATTGTAATTTTGATCTGAAATAAACCGAATTACATTCGCTGCAGATCTGGGAGTGAACAACTTGAAATACAACGCTTAGTTTATTAATCTGATCTAATCCTTGAATTGTTGGTCCCGTTCGGCGTTCGTGTGACGATTTCCAGGGACTGGCTTTTTTTGTATGTATGTTGTTATTGCAAATATGATATGATTAGCCACTAGCTAGCTAAATTGGCTAGTGCTAGTTACCATTAGCTAGGTTAGTTTCTTTCCTCCTTTTCTGTACATTATTCTAAATATGCCCAGTTGATGACATCCATCGTTAGCTACTTGCAAGGCTTTCCGAAATGTAATTCTCTGTTTTGAACTTCCTGAAAGTCAATCGTGTTGAAACGGACGTAACGTAACTTAAGTTCATGTGTTCTTCCATTAAATCTATCATCAACTCAGCGTTTAAGATCACGTTACACTTAACGTAAGTAAATAACATTTTTTTTTTTACCTAGCTAATTATCTGCTTTTACGGTTAAACTACGTAAGTTTCAGGGTACTTGCATAACAGTTCATATTTTGGCTAACTTTGTTTACTTGCATTACTTGTTACCTCCAGAGGACAACAACTGAATGTGACTGTTTAAATGGGTGCTGTGCTTGTTGGACAGGTGTCCAACTGGCCGGCCAGTGGCTGTCGGATCAGGACTCGAGGATGGATTCAGAATATGAACATCGCCTCCTCCGACAAATCAACCTTCAAAATGACAACCTGAGTCCCATTGTGAGTTTTCTGCGGTCTTTAATAATATAAATGTTTCACATCAACACTGAATTGGCAGTATAATTGTGTTATATTACAATTTGAAATGATCAGAAAGTTGATATATATATCAATGAAAATGATGAAAAAAATGTGTTTTTGCAGAAACAGACACTGCGTCAAACACCCACCGGCTCCCCGTTATCGTCACCCAGTAAGCTTGGAGACAGATTCATTCCAACCAGAGCCGGGGCCAACTGGAGTATTAACTTCCACAGAATCAATGTATGAACAGTTTGTGGGTACATTTGTGCATCCATGTTTATCCAAGATAATAGTACTATAAATGCAAGAGATGTCTGAAGGTTACACTGTGTTATAGTGTGGTTGGTTACTGTATGAATGTTCTGTCTGAGACCGAACAACAACGGCTTGGTTGTCAAATGAATGTTGGTATTTTTATGTTTTTAAGGAAAATGAGAAGTCGCCAAGTCAGAACAGAAAAACCAAGGATGCCTCCTCTGATAACCTTAAAGGTAAATGAACGTATTCGGTTTTGTCTGTTACTCTTGTTCATACAGAATTGTAGTTGGGTGCATTTTGTTTTAAACTACATTTATTTTCATGCAGCAGACGGGCAGGCCTACTCTGCTCTCCTCAAGAATGAGCTGCTAGGAGCAGGAATAGAAAAGATCCTGGACCCTCAGACGGAGGACAGGCGTCTGCAGCCATCAACCCCAGAAAAGAGAAGTCTCTTCACCGTAAGAACATTTCATCATGTAATGAGTGAGGATGTAGCCCATTAGAAAAGACACACATAGAGTATGCTGTTGGATATTTAAGTGATGGTAAAAAAAACACAATGTGGAAGAGTAGTATACCCCTGTTTCAGTGTTTTATGTTCTTTTTATAGATTGTTTTTTCTCGATTCTTTGCAGTATTCGCTTAACACCAAGAGGTCGTCACCAGAAGATGGCACCAACATCTCCCCCTACTCTCTATCACCTGTCAGCAACAAAAGGTAAAAATACCTTTAAAGTAAAATATATGGCGTGTTGTTCACACTGCAAGCAAAGACATGGTTCATTTTTACATCAGCGGTTCACAATGTCCAACTTTTCCTGTTGCAGTCAGAAATTGCTGCGTTCACCGAGAAAGCCAACTCGCAAAATCTCAAAGATTCCTTTTAAAGTCCTGGATGCTCCAGAGCTGCAAGATGACTTTTACCTCAATCTGGTGGACTGGTCGTCTCTCAATGTGCTCAGTGTCGGGCTGGGTACATGCGTTTACCTGTGGAGCGCCTGTACTAGCCAGGTACTGTACAGTGTTTAAACAACTGATTTTGGAACATGAATGTGAACGGTTTGCTTAACTTTGTATATGTATTTTGTTCCTTGGCCGCATTCAATACCATCGTACATCAAAGTTAATCGATTGTTGGATTTAATTTTCCTCAGGTAACAAGATTGTGTGATTTATCCGTGGAGGGAGACTCAGTCACGTCGGTTGGGTGGTCCGAAAGGGTAAGTAAACACAGCTTATTGCCTTAAGGAAACTACCACGGTAATCTTATGGTAGTTAATTTTCCTTTTTAAACCTTTTTTTTTCCAGGGTAACCTGGTGGCAGTGGGGACTCACAAAGGCTATGTTCAGATCTGGGATGCCGGTGCGGGGAAGAAACTCTTTGCCCTGGAAGGACACACAGCTAGAGTTGGTAAGAACATGTTTGCTGAACCCGGCGAATAAAGGAACTGGAAAAAATACATGAATACTTGACATTCATGATAATTGTGTCCTTTAAAATCTTAGATGAATATTGAGAGCGACTAAGCTCAAATGAATCTAAATCTGTTTGCAGGAGCGTTAGCATGGAATGCCGACCAGCTGTCTTCGGGTAGCCGTGATCGTATGATTCTTCAGAGAGATGTGCGGACGCCTCCTCTGCAGTCAGAGAGACGGTTGCAGGGACACAGACAGGAAGTGTGCGGCTTAAAGTGGAGCACTGACCATCAGCTGCTCGCTTCTGGTGGCAACGACAACAAGGTACAGTTGTGACTCTTATGAAATACGTCCTAATTTTAGTGCTTTTAGATGTTGTGTTTCTTAATGTGTCTCTTTTTTTTTGTCATCTCAGCTGCTGGTCTGGAACCACTCCTCGCTGAGTCCACTGCAAACGTACATGGATCACCTGGCTGCAGTGAAAGCCATTGCCTGGTCCCCACACCAGCATGGCCTGCTGGCCTCCGGGGGCGGTACTGCTGACCGCTGCATCCGGTTTTGGAACACCCTGACCTCACAGCCGCTGCAGTGTATGGACACCGGCTCCCAGGTCTGCAACCTGGCTTGGTCCAAACATGCCAATGAGCTGGTAAGTGGCAGCAGTTACACACTGCAAAAGTTCACGAGGGTCCCATTTGCATTGACCATGAGACGTTCCATGGCGTATTTTAAGTGTCAAAATGATACTTGTAAAAAGTTGTCATTGGTACTTAAAGATTTAAAATCTGAATCAGCTCATTTTTGAACAGGGATCCGCAGTAAAATGTAGTTGTTGCCCATTTTTACACATAAACAAAAGCAGTAGAGCATTCTTGCATAGCATTGTTTGAATAAACAATTCTCTGGGCAGAATGTACCCACTTCCACTTGACAAAGTTTTGCCTTTCGTCTTTTATATATATCTGGCACACAAATTAAAATGGGCATTGTTGATGCCATTGCAACGGTCAAATTATGTTGGTCAAATTGTGTCTTTTTATCTAGGTGAGCACACATGGCTACTCTCAGAACCAGATCTTGGTGTGGAAATATCCAGCTCTCACTCAGGTTGCCAAACTCACAGGACACTCGTACAGAGTGCTCTACCTGGTCAGTTTGTGTTCTTTTTGTGATCACAATGTAGTCATGCAATTGGTCACATTAATGGAAAAGTTGGCATTTGGTAAATTGTTATTGTTTATTTCTTTATACTAGGCAATGTCCCCGGATGGTGAGGCCATTGTGACGGGAGCTGGAGATGAGACTCTACGCTTCTGGAATGTTTTCAGTAAAACAAGGTCAACTAAGGTGAGAAAATACTTTTTGGAAACGGTATTCTGTTATTGCACGCCCATATCTGCACAGAAATTAACAAAGGTTCTTTATCTTTTGTTTCAGGAATCCGTATCCGTTTTAAATCTCTTTACTAGGATACGGTAACTTAAAGCAAATTAAAACTCTTAAACAAGCACCTTGTGACATTTTTTCACAGAGGAAATGTCAGCAAGAGCAACTGAGCACTTTGTCTTCATGCCAACAACTGTTTGGGCAACTTTTTTTTACTTTTAGGTTCTCATTATGAATGTAGTAATTTTTATAAAAATGTATAAGTGGGTTGAGCACCTTTTTTTTTTTTGTATGAACAACAAGAATTTGTTGGCATTACTTACTTTATACAATATTGTGTTGTGGAATCTGAAATGAGCTGTTGTAGTTCTTGTTAAACTCAGGTCTTATTTATTTTACGCAACAGTGAAAGCCAACGCAATTAGCTACAATGGGAAAGAAATGCCATTACATATTATGGCACACATACAACATGAAACCCTTAACATAATCACCCACTATGGCCTTTACAATATGTGCACCATGTTTACTGTGATCCTTAGAATACGATGGTTGAGATCAGCCGGATGATACAATGCAGTTTTGCTCCTGTGGACAGAGTCCTACACTGCGCAGACATGTACTAAGTACATGAAGAATTAAAAGATGATGCAACTGCAGAACTGGTCTATATGTTTTTTTGCCTTTACAAATGCAATTCTTTTGTTCGTTGTGCAACATTTAACATGCTTACGTATTTATTTGACAATTGAAATACATTTTTCATGTGCCGATATTTCTACCAATTAATCACAGTTATCATGATGCAAATTGATAAAAACAAAAGCTGAATCAACGTACTCGTGTATTTGTGGCGGGATCTGTATGGTCATTCTCATTATTTAGTGGGATTAATAAAACCACATAAACAACACGGTGTAGTCATGCCTGCAGCCGTTAGGGGGCGCTGTCTCAGCGGATATGCCGACTGGAAGTGCTGTGAACGGGCGGGAAGTTGAAAGTTTGTGAATACAAGGAAAACAAATACTGCCGTTACCGAGTTCTTTGCGCGTAACGGTATTAAAGTACAATTGTATTATCAGCACAAACACGGTAAGTTCAAGGACTAAAATTGGCTAAATGCCGTCAACAACCTGAGTTTCAGCTAAGCTAACGCTAGCTGACACAAATAGTGGCCCGACTGTGGCTAGCTAGCTGACGCTAACTGAGCTCTCCACAAGTCCTGTTATCTTCTGTGGCCTCTCGGGATGGCGGACAGAAATCTTGTGTGGGAGTTAAAACGTTGGGCGACGGAGGAGTTCAACCTGCCCCCGGATAGTCTGCCGAACGACGGCTACTTTAAAACGTAGGTATCCGCTGTTTTGTGTACGACGATCAATGTTACTGCTTAAGCGTATTGTCCGAGGTCCTCACGGTTGATGCATATATGCAGCTTTAAACAAACGTAATGCTGATCATGTCTTTCGTAGGCTCTGTATCGGCACAGGAAAGTCTATATGGAGATATGTCATCCAACACGTTTTTCAGCAGAGGTTAGTTGTCCATACACTATGCCAGAGTTAACGCTGATCTTGTATACCAACACTGTTTCAGTAATTGTCTTGTCGGCATGAAGAACACTGTGGCTTCAGATAACCGCCTTCATCTCTAAAATACACTACGGTCTCACCTTTGCCAAAAGATGGCAAATGATGGATTACACCTGTCCGACGGTTTCTCTGTTTTTCCAGGAACGTGCGGGTCGTCCGTGGCAACCTCCAGTGGTATCCTTTACCGCCCTGACAGTTACCATGGCAACTTAATGTGTGTAGTTTGGTAATGTACTTCCTCATGTAAATGTCGGCGGGAGGTCATTTTGACAGAATGTACAGTGTATCTTGCGCAGCACTCGGTGCGGTTTGTATGTGTATACAGCGTACACTGAATTCCTCTAATCCACCATGCACACTGTGCTTAGCATTTACCCAGCTATTTCCTTGACATCATGATGTTAAAGGTACAAAGTTCTTCAAGACAAAGAGGTAGGCTGAGACTAATGCTACACACTGGAATTTTAATTTCAGTATGACCGCAAACAATAAAGTAAAATGTGTCGGGGTTTTTGCATGTTCAGCTGAAGCATGCTGAGGGCCAGAGTGATGCTGCCAAGCAGAGAGAGCTTCAGAGCAAGATAGAGCAGCTGAGAGCAGAGATCAGTCACTTGGACTCTCAGCTCAGTGGAACAGAGGAACAGTTGGCCACACAAGGTTAGTTTGGCCGATGTGGTAAGGGGTCGCACTGTTTAACAATATTTAAAGTGATCCCTTAAACCACTGTTATCTACTATTTACTAACAGAGCAGTCCATCAGTCGTACCTGGGCCCAGGTGGAGGACAGTCGGCGCAGAGAGCTTCTTATGCAGGCCTATAGGCAACGCTGCATCTTAGGCCGCAGGGTGCTTTCTGCAGACACACAAAAAGTCAATGGGCACTGCCAGGCACTGGAAGAACTTGCCAGGTAAGGCAATACCTGAAATGAATCAACTTAGATAATGTACACAACCGTATTAAGTGAGAGCTGTGTTGTGTTTTGTAGGAAAGCAGAGATTGAAGTATTGTTTGATGATAAACCCCCCAGCAGCAGAGATGTTGATAACTTAGACTCTCAAGGTGCAGCAGAGGCACAAGTCCTGGTAAGAACTACCTAAAGCTTGTTTATATTTTAATTGCATGTGCAATAGTGGTGTACTATCCATTAGCACATGATTCAGTCTGGAAAAAAAAGTCAGTAGACAAAAATGCTCAAACACTATGTTAACTATGTCTACAGTTCCTCATTTTATTTTGGTCTCCAAATTTGTGATTTTTTTTTTTCTGCTAACAACTACACAATATGACTCTGCAGATGTACCACTGTGGAGGATGAGGAGCTACGCAGTGTATACAGTATCAAATAAGGGAGCAATGAATAAATGAGGGATTGTCGACACACAATTCCAATTTCGAAAGAGAACAGCTACATATAGTTCATTAGATATCTTGACATATTGAGACTGGACTAGTCTCAATGGACTGGACTGGGGTCGTCGTGGCGCAGGGGTAGAGAAGGTGTGCTGGGAAGCACAAGGTTGGTGGTTCAATTCCAGGCTGCCCCATGTTCCATGTCGAAGTGTCCCTGAGCAAGACACCTAACCCCTAATTGCTCCCTGGGCAAAAATGTGAAAAAACCATGGGTTTAAAATGTAATGTAAGTCGCTTTGGATAAAAGCGTCTGCTAAATGACCTGTAATGTAATGTAATGACTAGCATGTAGCACTAGAGCCGATAGAGATTCACATAGATTTTGCAAAAAAAATTTAAGTTTAAATCCATATTTTTGAAGACATCATACAAGTTGACCAGCACTTAGTTGCGCAAATATGATGGCTGTAGACCCAAGATGCCTTTTGACTGAAGGAAATCCTGTTTTTCATTTTTCTCTTCAGCGTGATGTAAGAGAGCTGTGTGATGACAGGGTCCACTTCTATCAGTCTTTACAAGAGAGTGAACTGAAAACTGCAAACTCTGCAGCCAAACAGTAAGTACAACAATGGATACGGTACTCAAGTCTTTCAGAATACTGTCAACTTTCCCCTTCTTGAATTAACCTCTTATCACTGTTATTTCTCAGTATAACTCGTGAACAAAGGACTGCTGTGTTTGAGTATTGGCTGAGTGCTGTGGAGGTTTCTGTATTTTGATTACTTTTAACACAACATTTTTGTACTTGTACTCAATACATTTTGCCTTAAATTAACAACTTGTGTTTATGTCATCAGAACATGTTGTGTGGTTATCCTCCAAACCATGTCCTCTCTGCATTGGAATATTTAGCTTCCAGAGAGCAGAAGGAACTAGAGGAGAAACTAGCCTCTCTGGATGTGGCACAGGATGTTTCCGCTCTACGGTAAACTAAAGTTTTTATAATTCATCACTATAAAACCTCAAGTTTTCAGTATCAGAGTATTCAAAAGGCTTTTTAATTGCAGGTTCCGCTATGAAAGCAATCACCTACTGGACGTGTCAACAGAAGAGGATAATGACTTGCCATCGGTTAAGACCCTCTTAGAGGTGCTAGACACAAATCACACAATTTGATATTTGGGGAATTCATACAGTATATAAAACATGTTGATGTGTTTCCTGGCATTTATGATTGCAACATATTATTTGTGGAATTACACGTTTGTTTTGGTTTCCAGGATGCTTGGGAAGAGGTGGAACAGAGTTTGGTGGAATTGGCCCAGACTCGCTCCAGAGTCCAGCAGCTCCAAAGCCAGCTGCAGGCCCGTAAGAAGACGGCTGAGCTGGAGGTGTCTGGTATTGCAGATGAGCTTCACAATGACACCATGGCACTGTAAGAAAACTCCCTGTACTGTAGTAATGAGAGTTTGATTGATGAGGTTCTTACACATAGTGCAAAGGGTGTATTTCCCCCTACAAGTATAGAATAATTGAGTCAATGTATGAAAAATGTGTACACTGGTTTGACGTGGAGATTGGTATTTTTGTTCCCATTTTTTTCTGACAGGTCAGCTCTAGAGGTGGAGCTTCAGTGTGTCATGCAGGCAGCAGCCAGGGATCAAATCAGAGACAGGTGTATACAACTTGATCTGCATGCAAAAAGCAGACAGGAGGCGCTTAGAAAGCTTCACAGCCAGTGGCAGAGCATCCTTGACTTCAGACAACAAGTGGTGAGAGTCAATTGACAATATGAGACCTTAATTACCAGCATATATTAGCATTAATAATGTGTGACGTCAACTTTACATCTGGATTTACCAAACCTTTGGTAAATGGTAATGCGCAGAGGCATCAGCGTATCTTCAACATATCATTAAACCCGGTCTGTTTTTGTCCAGGTCCTCAGACAGAAGCACATCCGAGGTCTGATAAAGGGTAACTCCACCGCCAAGAGGGAGCTGATTTGTCTGCACACAGAGGTGTGAATGTTCTCCATCTACGACACTGAAGATTGGGGTGAAGAAAATGTTTAGGCCTTTGAGCCAAAGAAAGCTCTAATTCTTTCACCTGTCTTTCTGTCTTGTTGCAGTTGCAGGAATTTGTGCAGGGCAAACTAGTGCCTCAGCTTGAAGTGGTCACCACTGCAGGCGGCACTCAAAGAAACTCCATTTCCAGGGAGGCAAGACAGTTTGGAACAATTTCACTTCTCGCTTTGGACCGCAGGACTGTTGATGGGTAAGAACAAGTTACCTGACACCTGAACGTGTAAATCCCAGCCATTACACCTGGTTTTCTGTTGTTTCAGAATGCAAAGGATTCCGGCATCGTGGTTGTCCATCCATCGATTGCAGTCCCCGACCTTCAGCAGCTTGTGTCAGAACCTGGCATTCCCACTCTACAGGGTGAGTCCGTCCATGTAACGCAACAGTGTGCTTTGACCACAGTGAGAAACTCCTTTTATATGTTTTTGTATAAAAAGTGTTGAGGTACTGTACATAAGACCATACTATTATGTTTTCACGGTTGCTGGCAAAGGTTGACTGCTATAAAAGTATATCTTTATAAAAGTTCCCACTGCTTCTTAAACGTCACATGCAGATGGTGGTTTTGAAACAGGAGCTACATTCAAACGCTACAAACTCACCGTGGAGATGTTTTTTTGGTTGTTGTTGTTTTCATGTAGATGCATGTTAATGTCATAGAATTTCTGCTCCTTTGCCCCTTTTCTCATTGACACAAACTTTTCTCCCTTTTCTTACACAGGCTCCAGAGGAGTTGTGTTCCCACGCGTGCGCCCAGCAGCTTGAGCTACGTTTTCTCCGTCAGTCACTGCAACTTTATGCTGTAACTTCGCAGAAAATACAGAAGGAAACAGAGTTGCTGCATGCATCTGATCAAAAAGGTAGGGGGGAACTCAACCAGAAAGATGTTAACAAGCTTAAAATACATACTAAGGAAGCTGTATTTGTCTGTTTTTACACAGTTTGTATTCAATAAAGAATGTATGTTTGCTGAGCAAGAAGTTTTCAGAATTATGGAAAATGTTAGTTACAACAGAAGTACTGTTTGTCTGCACTGTGGCTCTTAGCTCTGCTGTCTAGAGTCCTGGAAGAAGATCAGAAGCTTCTGGACGCTCTGGTACAGAGAGTCAGATGCCTCACCCAACGTTGCACCCAAGGCCTTTCTTATGGGGTCCAAGTCAAAACTGCCATCTCTTACTGGTGAGGCACATTTCAAAAAAGGAGATAATCAAAAAACTATGGATGTTTTCCATTTTGCAAAATTGTAATTATTTTTCAATCAGTGTGACTTTTGTAGTTCTATTACTATCTATTTTCCTCCTCCTATCCGGGGTCGGTCACGATGGCAGCACGTTGACCCAGACTTCCCTCTCACACGCAACATTTTCCACTTTTTACAAACAAGCCTAATTACTGAGGTCTCGGGGTGAGACCACCTTTTCACAGTGCAAAGAACGGGAAAAGTTAACACTTGTACTGACTTATCATTTACATCCAAAAGTTTTCAAAGAACTTCTTTCTTCTGTGATGCTGTAGCTTTCCACTGCAATGGATGATGTGCTAACTTTGATTTTGCTTTCTATGAAAAGTGGTGTAGATAATTGTGTTTAACTCATTATTTTCTGATAAATCAGTGATTTGCAATTTTGGATCATTACCTTCAGTCAGAGTGTTGGGTTTGCTGGTAAACTTCTTCTCTTTTGTCCATGCATTCAGGTGGGATCGGCCAGCCCAGCATGTCCTACCGGATGTCAATAAGGGAGGACTGACTTTTCAACAGTGGTTACAAAAGTGGAAACTTGCTGCCAAAGCCTCTTAGGGGGCAAATCATCCTTAAGTAAATAGGAAGTAGATCCGTTAACGCACCTTTTCAGTAGCAAAGGGACAATGCTACAATAGTTAGAAAATGCCCTCTTCTTTTTTTCTCCTGTTTTTCATGCTCATCGCCGCTGCTGGTGTTTTACCAAGTGAAAATCCGTGCCTAATAAATCATTTCGAATCCAGGCATCTGTTCGTGTCTCTCCTAATACTTTATTAATAAAACAACACAATGTAGTAGTATGTGTCCGTCGTGCACCGGGCAACATTGTTCCTTTGTAGCATTAAAGGGGGAGTGGAGCAATGTGATTCTTCAGAACTCGGCTCCTCCCACCGCTGCGGCTGCGCACTTCCATTTTTCACTCCTTTTTTTCATTTTTTTTTCACTCCTACTCGGGCTTCCGGACGCCAAGACGAGACCGCTGCCGCCGAATTTAAAGAGACAGGCGATAGTTATTTTAAATACGATAAACGGCAACCATTGTCCCCCCGCTAGCTTATTTTCTGACGCTTCTCGGATCAGCTTGTTTAATTCGATGGTGATGTTTTAATCAAAGTCGCAGCGAGTAGCAGCTTGTCTGTCATCATCCTCCACTCTGCTGGATTGTCTGTCCGTCCTTTTTTTTCTTCTTCTTCTTCTTTTTTTTGCGCTGTGCCGAGTCTGTCCAGCTAGGGCAAAGTAGGCTTGCTTGCTGGCAGGCTGGCTTCCCGACCGAGAGGAAGGTTTGTCGGCTAGCCAACAACTGGAGGCAACGGGCGAAAGGCTTCCCCCCCCCCCCGCCTCTTCTCAAGTTGGTGGTAGCGGCTCTCGAGCCTCCTGCCGCCCGGGATAATGGCGAAGATTCAGGCGCACAGCACCGCCAAGCAAATGAGCCAAATGCAGGACAAGCCCTACGTTATAACACAAAAGCAAGTGCAGCAGCAGCACTTCCAGAAGCTGAAGGTAAGAAGACAAAACGGACACGACAAGGTGTGGGGGGGGGGAAAGTCCCCCCCAGAGTCAGAACCATTTTGTCTGTCGGATGGTCGCGTTGGATTTGAGGGCTTTTCTCTTTCTCCCCTCAACGAGGAGGGAGTAGTGAAAGCAACGGCTGGCTAACGTCGCGTTAGCTCGGTGGCCTATTAAAAGTAACGTTAATTCATTGCCCCGACGGCCGAACCACTGACATCTGAGAGGGACGCCGGGAGCCGCGTTTTAACCACCAAAGGGTCTCGAGTGACACAGTTTTAGGGGTAGTTTTCTTATTTGCGACGTCAATAACCGTCACCGCGAGCAGGCGTTAACTCAAACCTCGGTTGTGGGAAGTTCCGCCGTGTCGTTTTTTTTTCCTTTTTCTTTCAGCCACCGTGAACAAAGTGGAGGACGTCAGCCCGCTAAAGGGCTTCTTCACTGGACCAGCAGCTTTCATTACACGTTCTCTTTTGTTAACGCAGCAACAAAGGGGGTAAAAACCACCGTAATGGGGTTATTTTTTTATTCGCCAGCGATGTTACCGTCTGCCGGGCACCAGCTGTGACCGAACGGGTTGTGTGTTTGTGTGTGTGTGTGTGTGTCCGTACGTGGGGTTGTGTTGTGTGTTCGAGGAGTTATTGTCGTCAGTTGAGTGTCTGTTGGCTAACGTTAGCTTACAACAAACCCTCTCGGAATGCGGTCACAAACGCTTTGCGTGAACACGTTTATTTATCTTTTTGTAAATCTAAGCTAGTTTGGATGTGGTGAATAAAGCAAGCTGAGCCGAAGTGAACAAAAGCACCTTGTTGTATTCGCATATTTATTTATTTATTTATCTACACACCTTATACAGCACTCGGGCTGACTATAAAGGAAGCAAACATTAACCTCACCTATTTATACACAGGGAGACATTCCTAGCAGATAGTTGTGTTTGTTAGATAATGGTGCCAGAATATAATGCACATGTTCATTAGAGAGCTGGATCGAGACCCTTTCCAAGATCCTTCATCAATAGCACTAAAAAGCTTCTCCACCGTTCCCGGGAACGCTGATTGTCATTTGTGCTGCAGTCGTGATTTTCCTTTTCCTGTGTTTTTATAGGTGGAAGATGCCTTGTCCTATCTGGACCAAGTCAAAATTCGCTTCGCAAATGATCCCGGCATTTACAACAAGTTTCTCGACATCATGAAAGAGTTCAAGTCACAGAGGTATTTATTGGAGAAAGGACTTACTTACATTCTTTTTGGTATTACTTGTAAATTTTGAATGTGTGCATTCCCATATACAGTCTTTTAACACACAGCATTGTGAAGGTTATGCGTAGACTTTGGTCACACTGCAAATATAAGAACAAGGGGATCAATCACACATTTTAGGACATCAACATCTAACAATCTGCAGGTAGCTTCTCTGATTAATCATCCAGCAGTTTATATTCTCTCTTACTGTTGTTTGAAAACCTTTTAAACTGCGCTGCAACCCCTTTTGATGAGGAAGTGGTTGTCTTCATGCTCCATATGCGAGAACAAGCTAATTTTTATTTTTCTCTGCCTGTTCTCTTAAATAGCATCGACACACCGGGGGTGATAAACCGCGTGTCACAGCTCTTTCATGGACACCCAGACCTTGTCTTGGGCTTCAATGCCTTTCTACCACCGGGATATCGGATCGAAGTCCCCAAAAACGGGGTGGCTTTCCTCCAGTCTCCCTTCTCCACACAGGTGAGGTACTCTACGGTTGATACATTTAGGAAACTAATGCTTTAATTATGCATCTTTAAGCAGGTGCATCGTTACAAAGTCATGCTGAGCTGAAAGTACGTTGTGTTAAACTTTGAACAGCTTTGCTGCTTCTGCACTGAATATCAATTAGATGTTTTTTTAAGTTGCAGTCAAGATCACAAGGTTTTTAAAAAGCCCTTAAATTTACTTTGCCAAATATATTTACATACACGCAGTTGCCTGTTTATTTATTGTAAAGTTGAATCAACAGTCTCACTAAACAATGAGCATAATAACATCAGTTGGACTACCTTGGATTACTTGACCGTCGTGTTAGACTGCATTAGTTTTGGCAAGGTGTATTTGATAAAGTGGCAACTGAGTATTGCGCATACGAAATGAGTGTAATGGACTATTTCTCTAAGACAGTTTCTTTATATTTAGATGCATTATCAACACCAGTACATTTGTAGTATTTTGACGCAGTGTGGCTCGAAACTGAGCCGATGTGATCGGCTGCACCTCAGATTGAGCTTTCATTTCAGTTTGCATTTGGTTTGATTTCCTTTTTATATACATTGAGCTGAGTGTTTTATTTAGTATTAACTGACATGGAAAAACATTTAAAAAAAATGCTGCGACCAGTTTGACGTGCATCGGTTTCACGGGCAGTGTGTCCAGATGACTTTGAGGTGTGTTCAGAGATGAGTAGAGAGCTGCACAATAGAACGTTGATATTCCACTCATAGAAAGACCAACATGCCGGACCGAATCTTGATATACACTTGATGCATATTAACATCCCTCGGCTGAAAAACCTTGTGTTGTTTTTTGTCTAGGGCCAAACACTGATGATTTTTTATATTCTTTGAGAGACTTTCTTATTTGGATAGCTTGACCTAAAGGAATTGTGGGGAAAGCCTTATGACTAGGAAGTACACACTCGCAGAGTGTAAATTGAGCTTTGCACCAAAACCTTTATTGGCAGCGATCAACTGTTTAAATTACTGACTCGAGGGTTTGGGTAAACAAATAAGCCGTATTCATCCCCAGATTAATTTTCCAAAACCTGCAATGTTGTTTGTTTGTTATTTCAATTGATATAGGTGTGCCAATTATTAAGTAAACGGTAGACAAAGTAAAGGTATAACATTGTGAAATCTTTCATTTTAACTGAAACCGGTGTGCCCAAAATCCTGCCATCTTTACTATATAGCACACTAGATTTACTGCCCGCCATTTTATTTGATGCGCTATCCAGGGCCATAAAAAGATCTTGCAGTTGGGAAATGTAGTGTCAACTACTTTGACCAAACACTGTAACATGTAACATGTTATAGATATGCAAACAAATGCCATTTATAAAAATGTTATGAGAGGGAGGATTCAAGTACGATGTAATTCTTCTTCTTCTGTTTTTGTTTAACCGCAATCTGGGCTGGTATTGCAGAAATGATTCCCCAAACCTTACTTGAAGTAAACCACTTCAATCACGTCACTCTTCATCTGTCCAGGTCTCCCCAGGCCAGCAGGGGAAGAGTGTTGCCCCCCCTGCAGTGACAGCAGCCTCAGGTACTGCCACTGCTGCCAACGTCGAAGCTGGACCTGCCCAGACCAGTGAACTCAAGTCAGCCCCATCAGAGTCCCTCTCCTCCTCAACCCCAGCAGGAACAACAGAGCCTCCCAGCAGGCTTTCCCTTCCCCTGGCTAGCAGAGAGAGCCAGAACCAGGCGACCACTTCGTCCGTATCCCCACCTGCCCCAGAGACGAGCCCCGTAGAGTTCGACAGTGCCATCAGCTACGTAAACAAGATTAAGAACCGTTTCCTGGATCACCCAGAGATCTACAGAGCCTTCCTAGAGATTCTTCACACGTATCAGGTACTGTGGAGAGGAAATGTGGAGATTTACGTTGCCTCTTACTTTGCATGTCATGTAGGAAATGGAGGTTGTTTTTATATTCCTTTCCAAGTGGATATTCTTCCTGTTTCACCGCAGACATTTTGACTGTTCTTGCAGAATTTCAGGCAAAGCAACTGGCTTACACCACTGCTATGCTAGTAGTAAATAGCTTTGTGGTATTGACAATTGTAAGAATTGAACATGTAAATAGAGATTGCAGGTGATGTTATTTTCTCTTGTCTGTGAGCACCACCTGTATCCAAGCCAAATATTCTCAACTTAGATCTTCTGTTTTGTTTTAACTTCCGTTCCATTTCTCACCTTTTTTGAAAACCATTTTCCCGTACCACCACTCAGAAGGAACAGCTGGAGGTGAAGGAAAGTCGAGGAAACCGTGGCAGCAGCGGAATGACAGAAGATGAGGTGTTTTCTAAAGTTGCCAGTCTTTTCAAAGGGCAAGAAGACTTGCTGGCGGAGTTCGGGCAATTCTTACCTGATGCCAAGAGATCATTGGTCAGTAAATTGAAGTGTGATTGAAGGTTGAACATAACTAATGGTACTTTCTTGGCACAAAAACAATATTTTCTATCATTTCTATGTAATTTCTTTCATTCATATTTAAATGCACACCTCAACAGAATTGGTAATTAAATGTTTGTATTCAGTTTTTTTTTGTTACACCTTCTTAGTAGTCAATGTATTGCAAAGTAATGGCTTTTTACTCAACATTCTTTGAATTCAGTAATTCAAAGTGCAAGGTAAAGATGAAACAACTTAGTATAGAAGTTAATCAACAGAACATTCCTTAGCAATTATTTTGATAACTGAATAATTAAGGTTAATTATTCATGCAAATTAGCCTGACATGAAAATACATTCAAAGGACTGTCAGTAACACAAAACAAGCGATTTGTGATAAGTCACCTAGAGCTGTGTGAATTTCTGTGATGGGAATTTGAGACTTTTGACACTTTTCCTGTGTGCTTCATCATCTGTAGTTCACAGGCAGCTCCCTGACAGGAGGCAAAGATCAGCTGAAAAGGCTGGAGGAGGAGGACACACTACCCAAACAAAACAAAAAAGAGGCCCCGGCCCGTCCTACTGCAGCACATGTCCCCACTCCTCAAGGTAAGCTCTCCACTCAGAAAAGCCTCAGGAAACGCAGGCATGTGTGTATGTATGTATGTATGTATGTATGTATGTATGTATGTATGTATGTATGTATGTATGTATGTATGTATGTATGTGTGTGTGTGTGTGTGTGTCCTTGAAAAGGATGCAACCGTTTCTATCCTTTTTAAATCAACACTTTCAAAAGCTTTAACTACATCACATTTCATTATAATTGCACATGTAAAGATAATTTCTTTGTTTTTCATTTAGAAGAAAATGAAGTATTCCTGTACCAAAGATCAGTCCTTTGCTTCAGTTGGCAAACACGGAGTCTTAAGAGAATTTTCTTTCTTTGATAAGGTGAGATGGCAGTGAATCATGCCAATTCTTTTCTTCCTCTGTTTCTGCTTTTATTTTGACCCACTGCCACAGTTTTTATAATTTCTTTTTATTGATTGGTCTGACTTCCCCGTCAACCCTCTCATCATTCAGGTTCGTCGCCTATTTAAAAGCCAGGAGGTGTATGAGAACTTCCTGCGTTGCATTGCCTTGTTTAACCAGGAAGTAGTGTCGGGAGCAGAGCTGCTCCAGCTAGTCACTCCTTTCTTGGGGTGAGTTGGATGAAACAACGGTTGAGCTGAATACATGCATGCATTGTGTTGATGAAATTGGATATTTGCATACAGTAACTGCATGGAGTGGATAGAAAGTGTAGACATTCGCGAGTGGTCTTGTAGAAGAGAATTTAACCCTTTAAGTATACACAAATGCTACTTGTGTATAATCATTACATATGGAACCTATACCATCAGATCAGTTATCAACCAAACTATTCCAGAAGAAATAAAACTAACTTTTTATTTTACACCAGATTTTACCAGAGATTAAAATTATGTGCTTGGTGTGTCAGCTCTTTTGCTCCTGATTAATCTCTTATTCTTGATTTCACCCATCTCCTTCCAGGAAGTTTCCTGAACTATACACACAGTTCAAGTCATTTCTGGGGGACAAAGAGCTCTCTCATGTTGTGTCAGGGCTGTCGGATCGCTACATGGAAGGGGGAGGGGGCCGTGAGGTGGATTATGCGTCCTGCAAGCGCCTGGGGTCCAGCTACAGAGCACTGCCCAAGACCTACCAGCAGCCTAAATGCAGCGGGCGCACTGCCCTATGCAAGGAGGTACACACTCTTTAATTATCCTGAACACTTGCCACTGGCACCGCTTAAAATGTCATGTTTTCTTGTAAACCAAGCTTTTCACCTGTGTGTGTTATATGGACTTTCATTACATTACATGTCATTTAGCTGACGCTTTTATCCAAAGCGACTTACAATAAGTGCATTCAACCATAAGCATACAAACTCAGAAGAGCAAGAAACAAGAAAGTGGAATTTCATCAAATAAGCCAATGTACAACTTGCTTTAAATAAGTGCCATTAAAAATACAATTCAAGTGCTACAATTTTAGTCTTTTAGTCAAGGTAGAGTCTGAAGAGGTTGGCCTTTGGTTTGCAGCGGAAGATGTGAAGGCTCTCTGCGGTCCTAATGTCATCAGAGGACAGCAAAGAGTTGTGATCTTGTCGAGTGTTTTGCTCTCAGTGAGGAAGGGACAAGCAGTTTGGCTAATGCAGAGTGGAGTGCGCGGGTTGGGACCATGTCCATGTGGTTTGACCATGTCCTGGATGTAGACTGGACCCGATCCATTCACAGCACGGTGCGTGAGCACCAATGTTTTGAACTTGATGCGGGCAGCCACCGGTAGCCAGTGAAGAGAGCGGAGGAGTGGAGTAGTGTGGGAGAATTTCGGAAGGTTAAATACCAGTCGGGCTGCTGCATTCTGGATGAGCTGCAGAGGTCGGATGGCGCTAGCAGGGAGACCTGCCAGGAGAGTTGCAGTAGTCCAGGCGGGAGATGACAAGAGCCTGAATCAGTACCTGCGCTGCCTTCTGAGTGAGAGGGGGACGCATTATCCTGATGTTGTAGAGCGTGTATCTACAGGATCGTGTTGTCGCAGTGATGTTGGGAGTCAGGGAGAGTTGGCTGTCAGGTGTCATGCCGAGGTTTCTAGCAGTCACAGTCGATGTTAACACAGTCAAGTCCTGGATCAGTACCTGCGCCGCCTTCTGAGTGAGAACGGAATCTTTTCTCGGAAAGAGAAGTCTTTTTTTTTTTTTTCTTGTCGGGGTTGATTTTCAGATGACATCCACTGAGAGATGTCAGTCAGACTGGCGGAGATCCGTGCCGCCACCTGAGTGTCCGAGTGAGGGAAGGAGAGAATTAGTTGGGTGTCATCGGCATAGCTGTGATAGGAGAAGCGGATGGCCGAGAGAGTTGGTGTAGAGCAAGAAGAGGAGGGGACCCAGGATGGAACCCTGAAGAACTCCAGTAGTAAGAGGACTTGACCTTTCTTAGGTCTTGCATAACATTTGCTAAACAGATCCTTCAAATGTCACATATTTAAACATCTAGCTTTGGCTGACATTTTTCTGGGTTTTCAAGCATTAATGTAATTCCTTTTAAAATGTTTTGAATAGAATGTCATTATGACGTATATTCCTATGGAAATGTTTTTCCCCATTGAGGATTCACTCTTTGTATGTGTGTAGGTGTTGAACGACACCTGGGTGTCATTTCCCTCTTGGTCAGAGGACTCCACCTTCGTCAGCTCAAAGAAGACTCCTTATGAGGAACAGTTGCACCGCTGTGAGGATGAAAGATTTGAGGTACGTACATCCTAGCAACAATTCTATCTGCGCTTTGGGTAGAGCAGAGGAGGTTTGTTTTTATCCTTTTGTGTCCCTGCTGTTTTAGAAGAGGTGATAATGAGCTGAAACACATAGAACACTTGACACGATGCTATAAATGGTGACTACTTTTTAAACTCTGCCTCTGTAACCCTCCACTGACAGTTGGATGTTGTTCTGGAGACAAACCTGGCCACCATCAGAGTGCTAGAGAGCGTACAGAAGAAGCTCTTGCGTCTCTCCCCAGAGGACCAGGACCGGTTCAGATTAGACGACTGTCTGGGCGGCACCTCTGAGGTCATCCAGCGTCGTGCTGTGTATCGTATCTATGGCGATAAAGCCCCTGAGATCATCGAGGGACTGAAAAGGAGTCCTGCTACCGCTGTGCCTGTGGTGCTCAAGAGGTAAGGATGGTGCTTTTTGGTAACACAGGTAAAATGTTGAATCCAAGGAATTCGTTTAAATTTTTGCTGTGTATTAGGGCTGTCAAAATTGGTCAAAAATGCCGTTCGAATATTCGCTTTAAAAAAACACAGAACATATTTGAATATCTGCTTGCGCATTAGGCACGTCAATAACAGGACAAATTAATAAGACATAACTACTTGTATAGGTAATTTATTTAAGTTTAAACCGATTAAACAACATATTACCTACACAAAAATAAGTACATTAACTAATCGCATATCTCTCGCTCGCTCTCTCTCTCTCCCCCGCACTGTCGCGCTCTCTGCGCAAAGCCGTTTAAATGAACGACAACAATAAACCAATGCCGAGTGCTGATCAAGAGTTTTGTGCAAGCAATTTAAGGTCGCGGTTCTTGTCTCAAATATGGCAGGCTTCATTCAGTGATTGAAACTGAAAGTTTTACAGTACCGACAGTGAACGCTCAGAGCGAGCTGTGCTGTAAACACGGAACTTTTCCTTGGCATGAAACGGCAAATAATCAAACCAGTGCACGAAGCTGTTGTAGCCTATCTGGGTCCGTGTCTATTTTATTCATGCAATATAGTCAGTACAGGCGCGCGCCCACCCGCAAAGCAGACAGTCGCGCTGCTGCCGCTGTTTAAAAAAAAAAAAAGTTTTTACATTGCTATGCACAACTATTACTTTAGTATTAGAAAATATAAATATTGGTAGATCTGTAGTGAATCAACATTGTAATGTGTAATAGTTGTGCATATGTAAAGGAGATTTATGCTTGCAGTTAGACAGCACATTTAATCGACATTCCCAGCCGGGAGGTTTAAATGACTTCCGTAAAAGAGTCTTGTAGAGGCAAAGGGGAACTATGTCAGCAGCAGCTTTTTGTCTTTTGTATACTCAGTGTTCTGTATGCAGGCACATTAAAAAACGTTTTTTCCATGGAAGGCTTTCACAGGCTTTAAAAACTGACACGCTCCCTCCCTCATACGTGTTAACCCTTACAATCTATGTGCACATGAAAGTTCAGTAACCAACGTATTTGTTAGGACACATATTCATTCTTTGCTTTTTGGAAATTCTTTATATTAAATGTGTTGTTCTTCTGCAGGTTGAAAGCCAAGGAAGAGGAGTGGAGAGAGGCGCAGCAAGGTTTCAATAAGATTTGGAGGGAGCAATACGAGAAGGCTTACCTTAAGTCCCTCGATCACCAAGGAGTCAACTTCAAACAGAACGACATGAAGGCCCTGCGGTCGAAGAGTCTTCTCAATGAGATAGAGAGCGTCTACGATGAGGTAAACACTTTCTTTCTCTCTGCCGTCCCAACACACAACAGAGCTGTCAGATCAGTTTCACATATTTAAAATTACACTGTGGTGTTTTTCTTAAGTTGTAGAGCCAAACTGGAGGTTGGACACCATGTAATCGTTTATTATAACCTATACTTACAGCACTTTTTTCTACTATGTAGTCTTTTCAAATAAAAAGAGAGAATGCTTTCAAACTGAGAACATACTAAACCAAAGAATTCAACTTACTTTGATGTTTGTCATATTTATTTGTGATGTTTAGGTGAGTTGATACCAATCATTCAAGTCTTTTCTCTTATTTTGTGGTTTCCTTGAGCTTTACAGTTTAGTCTTGACTGGGTGGACTTTATTTCAGCTCACGACACAATCACAAGAATAACACAGTTAAGCGAGCAATCAAACAAGCGAGAAAGCAATTGTCTTTGAGTTGACATTGCTTCGTCATTCCCTTGTATGTTTTCTTTTCTACCTTTTACGGTGCAGATGTGTAGTGCAAACCTAGTAGCTATAAATTATTGGATCATCTTTCCTTTAATATATTATACCAGGACACATCTCTGATATCAGGATATTTCTCTGGATCAACGCAACTCACCCTTAAAATCAATTGTCAGTGACAAAAACACACTTTTTAAATTAAAAAGTGTGTTTTTGAAGTTGCCCGCATTCATCGGTGTTTTCTTGTGTCTCAGCGCCAGGAGCAGAGCACGGAAGAGGGCGGCGTCGGGCAGCAGGGTCGCAACGGCTCTGGCGCGGCTTCATCCAGCGAGCCTCACATGGTGTTTACGTATGACGACAAACAGATCTTGGAGGACGCTGCCTCGCTCATCATCTACCATGTCAAACGTCAGCCCACCATCCACAAAGATGACAAAGACCACATCAAGCGCATCATCCAGCACTTTGTCCCCGACCTGTTCTTCTCCCGGCGCGGCGAGCTCAGTGACACTGAAGACTGGACGGACGAGGAGGTCGAGCCTGAGGACGGGTTAGAGAGGGGAATAGGAGGTGCAGCAGCAACCGCAGGGTTAGGAGGAGGAAATGGCAATTCTAACAGTGCATCAGGAGCAGTCACAGGTGGTCAGTCTCAACCCCAACCTGCCCAATCAGTGGCCCTGACCCAGTCCCAACCCCAGCAGCAGCTCAATGGTGAATCCAGGCGGAGGCGCTGCAGCCCGTCTCAACCTGCTCCAGCAGCTGCCGCTCTGCGCTGCAGCCCGTCTCAACCTGCTGACACGGAGGCCTCCACCACCTCCAGTAGCACAAGTCAGGCGGCAGGGACCGCCTCATCCACCCCCGGATCTACGCCGATGGAGACGGATTCGGGCGCACCCGCCGAGAAGGTGGACCTGCGCGACCCTGAAGCGGAGCACCAGAAGGAGATGGATGGGGTCTACAACCTTTTCTTCGTCAACAACAACTGGTACTTCTTCTTGCGGCTGCACCAGACCCTGTGCTCCCGACTGCGTCGGGTGTACCAGCAGGCAGAGCGACAGCTGCTGGATCACCGAGCTGAGCAGAGCAGCGAGAGGCTGCTCATGGCAGATGGAAGAAGAGAAAAGGCATGCGACCTGGCCTTGGAGCTCCGCCTCAAACAGCCCAGTAAGTTAATCCACTCGTCGGTACGATTTTTAAGTTGGTTCAACCAGCGGGCACATCTGACACAACACGGACAAATAAGATTGGTTTCAGGGGGTTTACTTTACTTAATTTGATCTTAATTTATTCATGTTGGAGGACGTGGGGTACAAATTCTTCCCACGCCTTTCTGTCCCAACAGATCCACAGTCCACCTCTGCACGGATGCATTAATTACATTGTCTTCACATGTCGTTATAACACATGTGACGCGTCTCTTTTCTCCCACAGGTGAGGTGGAGTTAGAGGAGTACTACCCAGCCTTCCTTGATATGGTGCGCAGCCTGCTGGATGGCAACCTGGACTCCACACAGTATGAAGACACACTGAGAGAGATGTTCACCATCCACGCCTACATCGGCTTCACCATCGACAAGGTCATACACAACATCATACGCCAGGTAAGCAACGGTCACGCTCGCAATGAAGAAATGTCTTCTTATCTTTGACAACGTTTAACGTTTTCCCACTTTTCTTTTGACTCCAGCTACAGCACCTAGTGAGCGACGAGGTGTGTCTGCAGGTGGTTGATCTTTACCTGGCTGAGAGGAAGAGGGGGGCAGCAGGGGGGAACCTGTCCTCGCAATGCGTCAGAGCGGCCTGGGAGACCAGCTTCCAGTGGAAAGCTGAGCGAGTCATGGCTGAGGAGAACTGCTTCAAGGTGATTAGTCCTGCTGACTGTAATGCTGAATTACATATTTGGCCCTGACATTTCAGCTGTTGTTTGAGGCAATGAAACCGTTCCTATGATCAAACGTCAGTTCTGCTGTAGTGGTGATATGCGGTTCACAGTTCTGTCGTTATTTTAGAGGTTATTTTAACACTGGTGTATCCAGAAAAGCAAATCACTTTCACCAAAAGTATTTTGTTCAGAGAGGGCTTCTCCTGCTGAAAAAGTTAATTATTTTCTTGATTGATTTGGTTTGCTTGAGGCAAACTTAGTGACAGTTTTACCTCCTATGTAATGATTAATCTGCTTTAAATGTGGAGTCTGCAATTCTGTTGAAAAGAGTGGCTATTTGAACACGCCTGCTAATAGTGGCGCTACGGGACGTTAGCATGTAGCCGATTACCGGCCGTCTCACTGACATTTGTCGTTACACCTATGTGGCCTTTCTCCTGCCAGTGTAGAAACACCCAGGTTCTTCTTAAGAACACAAACAGAACAGATGGTGGACCATGAGATGATAGACCAAACTCTTAATAGGGGCGTGGGAGCGTGCTGCTTACTTAAACTACGGCAAGAGGAACATGGCCGCTTCACACTCGCTAACATATTGTGGAGCATCGTGGTTTTGCAACAAAGCCATCTTTTTGAGATTTTAACAGCCCTAATCCAGGTCTTGTAAATGGATTCATTGTGTCATCAGGTGATGTTTCTCCAAAACAAGAGTCATGTGACGTTGACTATTGAGCTGCTGGACACTGAGGAGGCTCAGGCAGATGACCCGTTAGATGTGCAGGTAAACACGCATGTACAAGCAGACTGCTCCCTAAGAGAACCCCTAAATAGAATAATAACAAAGGACACGCATTATTTCATCTTAATGGATCTGGCTGGAAAGTTATTATTGCTGTCTTTTCTCTCAGTGCTTGTCAAGCTACATGGAGCAGTTTGTAGGAACCGAGTCCAGCCTGTGTTCTCAAGCAGAGGGCTACTTCTTCAAACCTGTGTTTCTGCCCAGGTAAAACCTTTGTTTGGAGGTTAAGACTTCCCCAGAGCGCTTCTCATTTTCAGTTGTACATATACTAAACTTTCAGCCTCTCGTCAACTATAAATAATACAGCTTGAGATCACTCAGTTCTTAAATACCCAACAGATCTGTTTGCCTCTCACTACTTTCCCATTAGTTTTTCTAATATATTTGAAGTTTGAACTTCACTTTGATTGCATTACATTGTACGGGTCTTCTTACTTAGCTGTATGTCAATGTCAAATACCTTCAGGTCAGATTTGCACTATAGAGATTGTTTATTTAAAAAAAAAAATCTTTTAGCATTTATTTCTGTACAGTGATTTGGTATTAAAATGTTTCATTTTTTATTTTTATAAAGCAGTTACATTGAAATGTCTTTGCTTCGGTGTCCACCCCTTTCCTCGTTGTGAGCCAGTAAAAGTGGCAATTTTGGATTGTTGGAAAAATGTTTCTGTTAAAACATGAAATGTAATTCTAGTGAGATGGGAGTAATGCCAGATAACATTTGTAAACACGAACAGGGTGTAGCTCAGCTGTCAGTCACCTACTTTGTAATCTGACCAACCTGTTAAGGTTTGATAAATGGGTCTCCTCTTGTAGGAACCTCCGGCGTTTCCGCCGCTGGCAGGTGAGGCAGGTGGAGGCGATGCGCTGCAGGAGAGAGTGGCACAGGCAGCTGGGCGTGGAGAACGCCGGGAGTCTGGACTGTCGATTTAAACTCAATACTCACAAGATGGTGTTTGTCATGAACTCTGAGGATTACATGTACCGTAGAGGAGCGCTGGTGAAGGCCAGGAAGGTAGGCTGGGGTCCTCATTTCATTTGATATACATGTTTGCAATGATGTTGGGAATGATGTTTGATGTTGAGAGTCTTGGTCGAGACAATCAAAACGCTTTTACGTTTTATCCTAGTTAACCCCCCCCCCCCCTTTTTTTTTCCCGTCTTCCAGTCGCAGCACAGAGTGGCGGCAGGCCAACACCAACGCTTCGACAAGTGGCACCAGGGCTGGCAGGCCGACCACGTTACGGCGGCGGCCGAGCGCTCCGTGCAGAACTGGCTGCTGGGAGAAGAGGAAGAGGACATGATCCCCTGCAAGACAACCTGCCTGTCAACCGAGTTGAAAGGGCAAGCTGTGAACAGATACCAAGTTCATTACAGCGGTACCAAAGCCCCGGCCTCCCCGTAGAGGCCGGCTTGTGAGGTGGACGGACTAAACACACAACAGGTAAATGCATGGACGTTCAAGACATTCATACACTAAACACAGGCGTAGACGGCCGCAGTCCTGCTTCTCCACCTTCCTCCACAACACTCATTCACCTCCACTGAGGGATGAAGAGACACAGTGCAGACTCTGGACTGTTCATGCCAGTGGACGGTGAGCGAGTGAGTGCACGGCGAGAGGAGCGACGGCGTGGAGGAAAAGGACCAACACAGTGAAGTAATCAAAGAGATTGAACTGGGCCCTGATTGATGGGGCGACTCGGACTTGATGGCACAAACGGAGCTCATCATCATCATCATCATCATCTTAAGCAGCAGCATCATTGGAGCTTCTCCGGTGGAACTAAAAGTTGACGGACACCGAAGTGGTTGAACATGCGAGAAGTTATGAGATCATGAAATACGTTTCAGAAATGTGAATGTCTGTTTCTTTTTTTTTTGCTTTTTTTTAAGTCCAGTGTAGTTTTTAGCTTCTAAAGCCAGAGAGCCTTCTGTTTGTTGGTTGGTTGGTTTATGCGTGTTTATATGGAGAGATAATGGTAAACGTGTGTATGTATGTGTATCCTGCTCTCTTCATTTTGTCTGTTTCTATGCCCAGTACAGGCTCTACAACTCTAGTGATGTATTATTACTGTATGTGCATATATATATATACATAACGGGGACCCTGTATTTTTATATATGCATCTACGTGAGTTGATTGATACATCTTAAGATCATGTTGTTCTTTGCAGTGTTTGCTGTCAGCCAACTCTTGATGTTTTGCATTTTGTTTTTTTCCCCCCTTTTTTTGTGTTGTAGCTAAAGAAGTTATCACCAAGGCAACAAGTAGACCTTAAAATCAATTGGTTTAATATAGAGGAAGCTGTCAAATTATGTATCATATTCATGATACTAAATGTTTACTTTGTATTGTCTTTTTTTGCATACTGACATTGAAAATAAAAGCGAAATATCAGTGTTAAAATAGAATGTATAACATTTATCCTGTATCAGTTATCATAAAATAAACAACCTAGTTGTGACCTTCTTAGATGTTGACTGGCAGGTTGTTTGTTGCAGTATGTTAGTAACAGAAACCACAAATTAATATTATAAAGACAATAAAAGGAGGATCCTGGACAATATCAATAAAAAAACAAATGGCAGCTGACCGTTAATAGAATACTTCTCTATACGGTAAATCAATCAGCAACTATTTGGGATAATCTTATTGTTTACTTTCATTTTAAAACGGATATTATGTATTTTTCTTGATTTGTGATGTTAATCATATATTGAATATCTTTTATCTATCTATTTTTGACTTGAACAAAACAAAGTGAGGCATTGTCACCGTGAGCTCTGGGAAATGGAGATTTGACCTTTTGATCTTTTTTCCCCACTATTTTCAACCAAATATCTGTTCATAATTTTGGACCAAATATGTTTTTTCCATGATACGTTTGGAACAGTTTGGGATTTTTTTAAAGCTATTTTTGGAGCAAAAATGTTTTTACTTTGTTTCTATGACATTTTTGGACCTAGTATTTCTTCCACACTTTTCAAACAGAAATATTTCTTTTTTTCTTGCATTTGACATTTTTAACAATATTCTACTTTTTATATGTATACATATATACTATATATTTTGAGTTGATTCCATAACATTTTTTGACCAAATATATAAAAAGTCAAACAAATTATAGAAAAAATATATCACATACTATGACTTTTTACTATACAATACGATACACTTTTAGGACATTTTTGACAAATTAATTACTTTTTACATTGATTTGACTTTTGACATGCTCTATGACCTTTTCAATGATTTATTTAAACATACTATCTTATGACTTTTTGACAACAAGGGAGGATATATATATTAAAAACTACAATATGACTTTAAATGGTCATAACATTTTAGGAAGACTGACTTAAAGGATAACCGGGTGAATGAGTAAACTAGTAAAATCCTGAACTGAGAAATTCTCAAAATACATTGAGAACAAAAATGAAACATCACGACAGCAAAAGATTGTGACCTGTACTGTATGTACTTATATTTACAAAACTACATCAAAGCCTTACCGAAGGCGCAGAAACTCACTCAGCAGAGCTCCCTGTCCACAAGGAGGAGAGAGACATCTGCTAGAACCAAACCTGCAATCTGCGAGAAACTCAATAAGAAGAGAACGGAGCAGCACAAACTTCTCAGAATACGAACAGAGTAAAGAAAGAGTCCAAGAGGCAGAGCGAGTTTTAAAAATAATCGTGGTTTATAAAACCCAGATATGACAGGATGAACAAAGTGTATACAGAAATACAAATACCATCAGGAAAACCATCATAGAACGGTGTTATACAATCAACATATACAAACTACTCTGTAAAAGGGATTCAGGGGAGGATGGGTCAGACATTTCTCCTTCTTTATGCCTCTTAAAATCACATTTAGTCACAATCTATTTAGTTTATTATATATTTTTTTTTGTATCTTATCAAAGTAGAACATCCACCTACCAAACTACAGGTACTGTTACGTCCAGCTAGTTTACAGAATGGGTACGGACAACATCAAGAGACTGAGAGGGGGGGGGGGTCGACACATTTTAAGCACTTTAACATCATGGGGGTTTCAGCAAGCAGTGGAAACAAAGTCACCCATGAGGAGAAATGGACGGAAGGGCTGAGGATCATCTATTCCAACACGCACTGTACAAAATAACCCTGTTTTTCTTTCCATCACTGCGTTACACAAACTGAATGCCACTAAAACACTTGTTTTTCTCAAAGCGGAGCATCCCAAAAAAATGCTTCAAATGAAGATCCAGGGTCTGTTTATGAATTGACGGAGATCTCGGGTAGATGAGGGACCGGTTAAACGGCGCCTCGTCACTGTGAGGTTTCCTCCGTTCCTTCGGCGTGTCAAAGTGCTTCTGTCAAATGAAACGTCCACAACATCGTCATGCACATCCACAAATGTACAAACACTGTTACAGTTTCAGGACGCGGCAATCCGCCCCTCACAGCTCTTCCGCGAGCACCGAAACAACCGATGACTTTCTCCAGTTCTCTGGAGCTTTTTTTCTTCCTTTTTTTTATACAAACACATCAACAGATTTACACATGGGAAGGAGCGCAGCGTTGTGATCGATCAACAAGCAAGAGCCCCTCGTCACCTAAAAAATACTGCTTGTCTCGGAGCAATAATGGCAACGTATGAAATCAATCACTGTCACCGTGGCAACAATGATCGCAAATTTACACATCATGTCAAATAAATTAAGACCTATGTACAATGTAAAATTAAAGCAGCATGCAGGCGAGTCTTTTTACAAAACTCTCTTCTGTAGAATTGTGCTCTCCAACACGAGAGAGGTGCTGTGTGTAGAAGTGTGTGTGTGTGTGTGTGTGTGTGTGTGTGTGTGTGTGTGTGATGTTATATGACTTCAGACACTTAAGATATGTGTCCAGTGTTTTCAAATAGCCGGGAAGCTACCCATCTTCTACCTATTCAACCAATCTTGATTAAAAACCTTCTGGCCTTCTGGCTCACATTGAACTCATCGCACATAGAAGCTTTTCCGTCTTTCAGCCGCGACGGGAAAAACAAACAAGGAAGAAAGGGGACTTTCTGCAACACACTTGTCTGGTGTCTCTCTGTTCTTCGTCTCATGAAGGGATGCTGACGTAGTTTAGTGAGAGGGAGAAATCGCAGAGAGCAGAGTGAGGGGGGCGAACAGGAAGAGAGAGTAAAGCACACAAACCAGCATTTTCCTTAGTAGATAACATCTGATCTAACAAATCACAACACTTGAAATCTTAAAAAGGACTAAAAAAACGAACGAGGCAACATTGAACATTGGAGACAAACCACACATATCTGGAGGGAGTCTGAAGCTGACAGGCTCGGAGCCACAGCCGGTGTAGAATTACTGATGAAGAGCATGCAAACAGCTTCTAAAGGGACGCCAGGTTCGACTGCCACAAAGTAACTCAATCGGATCATCAAAGGTGTCCACGGTTTTTACTTCAAGTGTTGTCCACGTGCTTTCTGATTCGTGAGAACAATCACGTTAAACCAAATCAGAAGAGGCTGAATTGTTTCTCGTTATTGTTTTTGCCGGTGGAAACCACCCATATGGTACAAAAGTTGCCGAAATGATTAAGAGCAGCTTTAAGAACATTCACAAGTGCACAATTAAATAAATGAATTGCTCAATTGGGTAAAAAAACGACTGACACTGAAAGTTTGTCAGAAAGTTTGTGATTTTTGGTGACATTATGAAAAATGTTGCCAGCGCTTCTAAAACTATTTCTTTAATTTGCCCCTCGGTCCCAGTTTGAGCACTGCTGACACACACTATGAACCACTAACTATTTAACTGAACATTTTGACAGCCTACTCATATTATTGGGATTTCCAACAAGACAGAACCTACCTGCTAAAAGCAAAACTTATACAAAATGTAAAATCAAATCCCTAAACAAGCTTTGTGCAAGTTAAATGGATACATTCATAAAAATCAAACTTTGGTTGTTAATGCAAACCATAGTGGACACACACATGTATTGTATCTAATAGGCCACTTTAAGATGACACGAGGATTCACAAGTGTAGCATTAGTTTTAGGTTGGGATAAGTTGAGGTGTGAATGCGTATAAACACATTCAAAACACACAAGACTAACCAAGAAAAACATTCCAAACCTTATAAAATACATAAACAATCATTAGTTGGATGCTTAACTAGTCGCATTAGTATAAACAACACATGTAGTAGTACTTAACAGCTATAACAATAGTAATAGTGCACATCAAAACATATTAAATATATTACTGAGCAACTTCACAAACTAGAAATGTTTGAATCCAAACGTCCCTTTTGATGTGTTTTCTCATTGTTTTGTGTATCAAATGTTCAAAAAGTTGGGATTTCACACCCAAGTTATTACAACTCAACCAAAAAAAAGGCGAGGTATAAAAAAAATCAACGAGTTGAAACCAGTTGATCTGTTTTGATATGCTGTGATTTGTTTGAGTCTTTCCTCAGGTTTTATTGATTGATATTCAGTCTTTTGATTGGCTTGTCTTCTCCCTGTTGATCCTAGAGCAGTTCAAAAGTGTTGTAAACAGTCAGCGATGCAGCTTCTCTGAAATTAATCCAGAACATTTAAAGAAAAAAACAACAACAACAACACAAATTCCTCAAAGTAAAAGTATTTTCAAAGAAGAGGAGAATAATAATAAGGGCAGTGTGATCTGCTTCCATGTGTGCAGAAGATCTCCATCTCTCCGCCTGTCTGTCCGTCTGTCATGAGCTGTAGCTATTAATCTGTTTGTGCTTCCTCAGCGGGGGTTTCTTTGTGTGTTTCAAGCATTAAAATGTGTAGTGAGTGTGTTTGTCTATACTTATAAGGACCAGATGTGCTCCCAGGGATGTAAAGACGAGGTCATTTTGTCCAAAGGGAGGACCGTGTGAGGTGCTCACTGCTTTAAAGGGGCGGACCGAGGGTCACTACTGGTGTTTCACTGTAAAGGAGAAGGGTCGAGGGTCAGGTCCTTATAAGTATAGCATGTGTGTGTTTGTGTGTGTGCGTGCGACGTTGTGAGCTCAGCTGAAGGCCTCATCATCCGTGTCTTCGATTAACACCTTGGTGTCCTTTTTTGATCTAGAGGAGGATTGAAAACACGATTTGATTATTAGGTTTAATTTCATATTAAATATTTTAAACAACTCGGACAACAATGGCAAAATCATCATTTTATCTATGACAATGACTTACGTATTGTACTTGATGAATTAACAGTAAATAGTATAATACAAGAAGAGTAAACGCGGCGGCGGTATACAAAATCTGCAGTAATATCAACATGTTTTACCTTATCTTTAAATCAAAGAGTAAATATGGAAATATGGGCCTGATATCAGGTGTCCACGTGGTGTCTTACTGCGAGGAGGACAGCAGGGGGCGCCGGAGAGACAAGCTGTAGGACCTCTTCCAGGTCTTCTTGCCCGAGCGGTTCCGGACGCCATCGTCCTGGTCCATCATCTGCTCCAGCAGTGTCTGGTCATCGGCGTTGAGTGGCGCCACGGAGATGTCCCTCACAGCGCGGAACTCACCGCAGTTATTCAGGTGCTCGTTCTCCAGACGGAAGAAGTTCCACACGAAACGCCTGCAGAGAAGAGGGACATCAGTGTGGGGCCCAATGGGGGGGGGTGGGGCGCGGTGGTTCGCGTGTGTGTGTTTGTATGAAAATGAGTTGTCAGGTGATTGAGACCCACCTGAAGACCTCGAGGGGAGCCAGCACCGTGGCAATGATGTCGCCCACTGAGTGGATTTTGGTCGTTTGGGTCAGAGAGATCTGGATCGTCCAGGCGAAACGCAGGATCACGTCTTCTATGATGGCACAGTAGTAGTAGGCCTGGACGCAGGTGAGACAGGGTTAAGGTAACTGTGTGTGTGTGTGTGTGTGTGTGTGTGTGTGTGAGGGCGTCATTTTACACTCTACCTTGTGTGGGTAAACAATCTCTTCTCTGAGGAAGGTGTTTTCTCCGGCTCCCCGGTCAAAGAGACCCCAGTCCATGCGCAGATCCCAGATCAGTGTGTACAGGGAGCTGATAGTGGAGAATACGATCAGCAGGTAGAGGAACATGTCGGCGTCCGTGTGTCCTTGCTCTGGAATAAACAAGACAAACACAAGTGCAGTAGCACTATTTAAAGATCTGGTACAAAGAATACTGCTTTTTAAATGAGGTGATTTGCAGAATCCACTGCACAGTCTGACCACTAGAGGGAGCCCTCGTCCCGTTAACAAACGGCCAGTGGACTATTACATTTTAATTTGAGTTTAATTTCCACTCATACATCTTAACATTTTCCACCAAAGGAATAATGACCAAACTTTGACACCACTTTATGAAGGAGACTACAGTTACATAGAGCAGCTGAAATCATGACGATTCAAATTCAAATTCAACGATTTACAGCATGATTTATTCTTCCGAGACCAATTTGTGCAAAAGGCAATATGCAGAGATTTTACATCAATAGGCGGTGTATCGGCTGCTGAGTATTTAACGTGCTTTCAACTAGTTTACAGCGGCCTGTATAACGTCAGAGTTGTGATTACCCCTGCTGAGTGTCTGCAAGAGGCGATTTGCTGGTTCCTCAGTGGGCGCGGACACATGAATCAGCAGCCAGTAGCCTAACACACTGACTCTCACCGACAGAGACAGCCGCCACCAGACGGAGAGCGGACTCACTCCCATTTGTCAAAGTCCGCGCTCCTTCCTGTGAGCCAAAGAGACGCCAGGGAGCCGAGCGGGGACATTTCTAACGCAGAGTTACTGCTGTGCTGCTCTGTTAACCGCCGCTCCCATTGTGCTGTTTGCTTCTTCAGCTGAGCGATGGGATGCAAGTCGTCCCTACGGACACACTGAGATTTTCCCAGCAGTAGATTATGCTTAGTCCAGGACAATAGACTCTTTTCACTGGAGAATATCCCCTGATCTGAGTTCCTCAGCCTGTTAAAGTGTTTAACCCTTCAGTTTGCGCGGAGGGCCGATGTGTTTTACACCAGACCATTAAAAGGTCAGGCAGCGTGAGATGGCCATTGATTGGAAGGCCAGTGAGGGCAAACTGTGGTCACTATCTCACAAGGTCGAACTCATCGGTGTACTGACTTTATTCAACTCAGTTCCCACTGATGGAAAGAAGTTTACAACAGGAGCAATCAGTCCCCGCTGCTAAGGGGAATTTCTCATCCGTTGTCACGGCCACCGGATCCGCCATGATGGTAGTTAAGAACCCTGCATCCAACCAAATAGAGAACGTTATCCTTGAAATGTCTAGAGATTTTGGGCCTCATTCCAGAACCACTCCTAATAACAAATTTGTTTTTCGTAGAATGGAAAGGTAATTCAGGATTATTTGGGGAGGTACATACAAAACACAGATTCTCTCCTAAGGGTGAAGAACCATAGCGACTTAATCTGATTCAGAGTTTAAATGTAAATGTAAATAAAAATATATAAACTAATACCAAACTAATTGCTTTTGGTCCTTTATTACCACCACTGAGTTGATTTGTAAGTCAGTGTAATTGACCGGAGTTCTTTTTTTACTCATGTAAACTCACTCGTGACCATTTGTGAATAAAACCTCACAGTCAAGGTGCGTACGACAGGTTGGTTCATTTAAAAGAATCAACTCGTATGAGCAAACCTCACAGAGAAAAGTATGGTTTTTAGGATAAAAATACAGTGAGTTTTGCATCTGTTTGGCTCGAGCCGGGTGAATTAGAGTTCAAGCAGGCAGAGAGAGACGTTTAACTGTGTTTTTTTTTTTTAAATCTCCATTTGTTAACCTGTGTGTTTGACTGAGAGAGTGTGTGTGTATGTGTGTGTGTGTGCGTGTGCGTGTGTGTGTGCTGCAATTGCTCTCCAGTTAATGAACGAGGGGTCAGAACATGAAATGAAGTTATAAAAGCTGTCAGCTCCGGGCTCATCTCTATTCCAGCAGAGTCCAACAGACATGTGTTCAGCCCTGGGCCGGTAATTACACTCTCCTCTCCTCTCCTAAACCCCTCTCCTCTTCTCCCTCCATTTGCTATCATTGCTCATGTTTTATGTCTATAAATCTGTGAATCATCACCCATTTTCGGTCAGTATTTAGCACCAACCTCTGGTGTTCTCTCTCTCCATGTAACCTTTCATGTTTACCTCTCCCTCTATCAGCTTCTGGTCTTTAACTGCAGCTTGACTGAATTTATTTTCCCCTCGCCTCCCACGGTCAGCTTCTCACAGAGACCAGCAGGACTGATGTTCCTGTTGGGTCCCGGTTATTTTACATGGTTTTGGAAGCTTTTAATATTGATGCCACAGGCGGAGGGATGTCTTTAAAACATGCGTTCACTGACAGGACAAACTACTTTGCATTTCTTTTCATTTATGATTAGTGAGCTAGACAACACTTCCATGTCCTTATCAGACGCTTTTTTGTATTGAACACCATGTTCTTCTCCCTCTGTTGGTCCATGTGATAAACCCTGAGGTTTAAATTAGCATTAGGCCTGAAACTCCCTGCATCTAAAGCAGCACACTCAAGCCAATGTGCACAAGGCCAAGCTTGTATTGATCCAGAGTAAAGTATCTGCTTTATTATCCGGCCTATCTGAGAGAGTTTGGTAGTTCTGACTTAACCGGGAAATCCTCCATCCTCTCTGACACAAAACAATGATTTAACACTAAAAGCACACGCTTTCTGTGATGCATCGGAGTATTCTACCTTCTCGGAGCTGAATGTGTGTGGTTGCGGTAAGTAAGGAGAGAGAGAGAGAGAGAGAGAGAGGTGGTGAGGTCACGCAGAGACCATCCGAGCTGTGATCAGGTTGGCCGTGAAGGTGACACATCCACAGACAGACAGTGGGAACCCTGCCAGATAGCAACTAACACCTCAGCCACCTTCCACAGCTGGACCGGGCGATGTGAACACAACACCACGCTGGCGCCTGTCCTGGCAGATGCTGGGCAATGGAAGGAAGGCTGAGCATCATCTGTCCTTCCTTCACTCAGGCTGTAGAAGAAGATTTGGCCACACCTGTATTTTACCCTTGTATTGCCTCAGAGTTGTTTTACTCATAGTGTCTATATTCCGATGCAGAATGTGTGTCTATTTGTTCATCGAGGGCTTTTGAAAATCCACCAGAACAATTTCCTCAACCAGCCGTTCTCTATTCATGAGTGTACGTGTTCCCACCCAGCTCCTTCCCTTAACCAGCGATTGGTCTCAGGCTCCATTATCGTGCTGGATGAAAGACATCTTCATAGAGAATAACACATGAAGAGAGGCCATTAGTCCACAGGCGTCAGACCAGAGGAGGAAGGAGGATATGGTTTAATGGACGGCGTCCCTCCTACTGAGCTATGAAAAAAAAAAAAAAAGAAAGAGGTCCGTCCGTCTGTCTCTGTCTCTTCCTGGTTCATTCAATATCAGATCACTGGCGGTCCGCTTAGGAAGCAAGCGTATTGATTTGGGTTTATATCGTAAAAGAATAAAGTCAAGCTGGGAAATAACATTTAGCGGTTTGAAAGGTTGAAGATGGAGTTTCATAGCCGGCCTTTTGCAGGCAAATAAATATATAAACTGACATCTGAGACGCGTTTAAATACTGGAATGGCAAAAAAAAAAAGAAGTGCTTTCAGACGAGCTGCATGGATAAATATCTGCGGTGGAGAGCTGAAATACAAAGTCCGCATGCTGAAGGCACGTTTTTGCTGCCTGGGTGCTGCGTCTTTGAACATGAAGTCCTTTGTGATATGGCTTCAGAATCTGAATAATTGCAGGCTAATTGTGAAGCTGTTGGAGGAGAGGGTGACTTGACTTTTAATGGTAACCACTCTCTCTTTTCGCCTTTCAATCTTGTTTCTGGTGGATATCAAATGAGGAGTATTTTTCCTTTTTGCAATTTCTCTTTCTCCCTGGCCTCGCGCCCACATATTGAATGCCATATTATGAGAGCAGAACCTTGTTTGTCTGTGGCAAACCTTTCACATTAACATGAGAAAGCTCTAGGCTCTGAGAAGGAACCGAGGCACTTGAGGTCACCTCTGCTTTCTCGGCACACACAGCTCAATACGAGCTCAGGAAGCCTCTGTTTCGTTAACACGCCTCTGTTACAGCAATGCACAAATACTGAAGAAATCTGCTGCACAGTAATTGGCGATGCATCTTTACATCACCGTGTTTACGCAGCTCAGATGAAACCTCAGACTTGGGGTACATTACATTCAGATATAGCTGCGTGTGCGGTTTCCTACCTCTGTGCGTGGCATAGAGCGCCGCAAAGGTGACGACAAAGAAGGTGGTAGAATATTTCCCAGCATTCACCAGGTGAGGGAAGGCCCTCTTGGTGTCACGGTAACGCCTCAGGCATTGAATGAAGCGGAACCAGGCGGGCAGACACTGGATGATGGCACGCAGACCGTAAGAGTAGCTGTGGCACACGTGGTCATCGGAGTCTGGAATAGAATAAAACAGTTTTTGTTTAAAATGTCATATTTCGACGTCCTCCGCACATTCCCCTTCTGCCAAGGAGGCTAATTATTATGAGAGTCACATGGCGACCTCCGCATGGCCAAACCTCTCCGATCCATTAGCTCAGTGTTAATTGGCTGCATGGAGGCTGGAGTGTCACTGTTGGTGGAGCGGACAGCAATTAAAACCTTGTTCACATCGTATTTCCTGACAGGCCAACTCAGCTGGAAAAACATTTAGATGTGATGTAGCAGATGAAGAATGAACACTGTTCATAAAGTGGAGCATATATTCCAATATATATATATATATATATATATATATATATATATATATATATATATAAATATAAAACACAACATTTACCCAGGGTTACAGTATAAATATTGTGCGGTTGAGTATTTCTGTCTATTCTCCAGCTATGTGGGGAAAACAGAGGAACTGTCTCTATGATGAGGGGTGATACCAAAACGTTCTCTTTCTCATCTTTTAGGAAAATAATTGTGGTTACATGATATTGATGTACGAAAAAACATAAATACAATGAGAAAATTCATAGCTCAAAATCGTGTGTTCGCACAATTTTGTAATATGTCTTTTTCCCAAGCTGGGTGTGGATTTATCCTCTCTGGCACCCGCTATGTTTCATCTGTTCCGAAACCGAGGCACGGAGAACGTAGAAGTGTCAAATGTAGCTGACCACGGATTCAAATCTCACCTTTAAACTTGGACAGCAGGCCCTTGCTGTTGCTCCACTGCAGCTCAAAGACGTAGTAGCAGATGAGATACTCCAGGTCCATCAGAACAACCACCAGAGAGTTCAGCTGATCAGCCAGCCAGAAGTCCGCGAACTCCACCCGGTGAAACGGTGCTGTGAACACGCGGAACTGCAAACAGAGAAAAGATGGCAGGTGATACAGTTATAACCTTCTATTATATTAAAATAATACCCACTCTAGTCTCAATGAGCTCAAAATGCACTGAAACATTGATTGCTATTAACTGAAAGGAGTGTATGAAAGCATTTAGGAAAAAAATGACATCCTCATTTATAGAAAAAATGTTTGGTGCATTTCAGAAAGCTCATTGACCGGCTCATCGTCCTGATCGCTGGCACTGAATTAGTCAACAATTGGTGTAAAACTGTAGCAGTTCATCCGTAGAGAGCTTCTGTTAATGATCTGTACCTTATCAACACACCACAGGACAAGTTAATGAGTTAACCGTGCGCCTGTGTGCATGTACTGTATCTGTTGCTGCGTCAACAAAAACACACGAGGCGGCGGGCAGGGATTTGTGGCCTGGAAAATGTCAAAGAATATTGGTATTTCTCCTCCACACACATCAGCTCATTACATATTTTTCTTTAACTGTCAATCAAAGTCTGTATTGATCGAGTGGCCATCTCGCTCATATCGATGCTGATGTCTCACGGGTTCACCTGCTGCAGTGATGTGGTTTTCATTTCTAGAGCAAACAAAGTAATCCAGGTGCTAACTCTGCAGTTTGCCCTTTTAATGAAATCTTGTTCTGTCACCTTCTGTCCCCTTGTCTGGTCTTTATTCTCATCTGGAATTAAAACATTTTATAGCACTGCTAGAAAAAACAATATAAGGTCGCTTGTTCCAATAAAAACTACAAGCAAGCGTCCTTAATGACTTGTGAAAAACGCAAAAAGCAGCTCATATTAGCCGTAATATCGTGTTGCTTGTTGGGATTTCGGAGGACCAATCAGGACTGAGGCGGATTAAGGAGCCACATCAGGGGAGGAGGCCTGAGGGAGTCCTACAGAGGACTGATGGGAGCTATGAAAGAAAGGACAAGATTATGAGGAGGGGGCATGCTGCTGCTAGGGAGAAGTAGGGGAGCGGGTGGGGTTGGGGTGGGGTTTGAGGGGAGTGCGGGGGGGACAGAGGAGTTTGGGGCATCAGCATACTGATAGATCTATGCCTCTAATGATTGCACGGTCACAACCCTCCACCTCCCATGGGACGAGGCTGCATTCTATTATCCCTCAAACCCGCCGCCCTCTCTTCGATACACACACACAGACACACACACCCTCCTGTAGCTTGTCTTAGACAAAGGACAGTGTCACATAGGAGGGTTTTGTAAACATGTTGCTTGAGATAGATATCTACATGCATTCATTGTGCAGAATAGACACACACACACACACACACACACACACACACACACACGGCACATTAATATCGTGTCACATGGCTTATCAGGAATCAGGAAACATTTATTACCAAAATATGCCAAACATACAAGGAATTTGTCTATATAATTTGTCTATAAACAGCAATAGGAGACTTATTACTCAAAACCCGCTTTTAAAAATGTTAGTGAACATTCATTCCGCTTATTTGAGAATAACGCAACTTAATTTAAGTTGAATGTGATTACAGAACGGACATTCTGCAAAAATTACAAATGCAATTTTAAAATACATGCCACAAATATGTCCAATGATATTTTTTTAACTTTACCTTAATTTTTTTTAAATAACATTTGGAAAAGATTTATAACATTGTTTTGGGGGCAAACATATGGATTTTTCAATTTGGTGTGTCAACATTTGTCATCCATGAACCTTGACCGTTTTTTCAAACACTCCTGTTAAGTGTGATCGGTGGCGCTGAATTTGACTCCATCAATGTAATTCTTTCAAACGAGCACAGGAGTAAAAGAAAAATACCAATATAAATGAAGAGACTGACCAGCAGCTTGAGGAGCCAGAATCGTGATTTGTAGTAGCAGGTCTTGAAGGGGTTGAGGAGGAAGAGCACCATGAAGCCGTAAAGGATGAGCGGATTGACCTGCATGGGGAGGTAGGTGTAGTCTGAGTAGAAACAGGAGAGGATGCTGAGGCACCACAACACACCCAGGAAACCAGCAATCTGCAGCACACAGGGGAGAAACACAAGCAACTGGCATTAAACGTAAACACTTTTGGCACATAATCTCAATTAACAAAGCAATCTGAATAATTCTGTGCAAATAATGCTGTGTTTTGTTACTCCTCCGTATAAATGAATAAATTCATAATAATGTATTCCTTGAATTTGGATTACCTATCCATCCCACCCATTCCTTTTGCGTGTTTTAAAAATACATTATCACTCATTAAATCGGAAGACAAAATGGTTTCTTCCTTACGTAGACAATGTTTATTTTCTCATAAATAATACATCAAATATTTTCCCCATTCTGACCTCAAACAGGTGTTGGTGCGAGAGGTTGTTTCTGGGATTGATCTCAAAGATGAGGACATGGTTGACTCCGGCCTGCCTCCATCCATACGTGTTGATGCCCAACAGGAAGAGGAACTGGATCAACAGGAAACCGCCCCGATAGATCCGCACCAGCGGCCACACGTTCTCCAAGCTGAACAACACAGTGCCTGATAGAAGCACAGTGGGTTTTTTTTGGCTTTTTAAAACAAATTAATACAAATAATATAAACCTTTTACCATCTCTTTAATAACACATCTGGAGAAATAAAATAAATAAAAACCTACCGATCATGCTCCGTATTAATCTCAAACCATCTGCCCAAACGGCCAGTTAGTTAACAGTGACACATTACAAATTGTGTAGGAAATACAAAAATGGATGAATCTGGATGTTGATGTGACTTACCGGTGAGAACAAAAGCGATGGCGAGAATGACGAAGAAGCCGCAGTAGAGTCCCACGCGAAAGGTTGTCCAAGCCAAAGCAGGCTGAACCAATCAGAAAGGAATACAGAAGAAATACACAATCGATCATTTTCTCATCTCCTCTTCAACCGCTTCCAGCAAAGCAAAACTAATAAATAATAACCCGACTACCTTATTATGCATATCAACACGCTCATTGATACCAAATACAGATAGAGATTCCACATTTTTGTATGTAACTCTAACTCTAACAATTCAAGTTGGACATGACAGTAATTAAGCATTAATAACAGTTGATATAACATCGGGGGGTAAAGTGCCAGTAGCCTTGATTGTTTCTGAAAGATATCCTGTTCAACGATGGAAAGGCACTTATAAAATCAATACTAAAGCTCAAATGGTTTTTCTATTTCTTTATCTCTTCTCATCTTCCTCCTTCTCCATTTCTTTCATAACAAACCTCTCACCTTTTAAAAAAAAAAAACACCATAAGATGAATGCAGAGGTTTTCAGACATGGACATAACATTTGTAGTTAGGTAATTTAATTCTCTAGTCGAAAGTGGAATGACTTATGGAACCGGAAATGTGACACATTTATTTTGTCTTTACCTTTTGATTTATTCCATTTTAGTTTGCAAAATCCCTCCATACTCTAAAAGGTTCTTATTATTAAACTCTTCTGCCTTTTTAAGAGAACACTACTGTGCTTGAGAAGCTATAAATCCAAATGTTCCCATTTGGCGTTTGTAAGAAGTGTTCTCTTACCTGAGCCGCCCCCAGCGGAGGAACTCTCAACCTTTTCATGGCCTTCTGTCGATCTCCTCCCTCCAGCTCAGTGGTGACGATGGTCTACACGCAACAAACAACCGTTAAACTTTTCTATCACGGCGCGCGTGTGTCTGTTTCGTGTGTGTGTGTGTGTGTGTGTGTGTGTGTGTGTGCGAGCGGGCACCTCCGTCTCGGAGATGAGCTGTGTGATCTTCTTGCAGGTGTAAAACGGCGCCACTTCCACTTGAGCCACACGCCAGTCCGCCCCGCGAGGAGTATCCAGGATCTTGTCATGTTTCTTCAGGATTTTGCGGAAACCAGTGAAGTTCAGATTCTATGGACGACAGGGTGGACAAACAGATTGGGAGGTCAATTTATTCATTATTTATTAACATGAAGATGCTTGTGCTCGTTATAGAACTTATACAACTTGTGCATAAGAAGCTGAAGTGATACCTGGTAGTTCTGGAGTAGGATGAGGCTGAGGTAGAACTCGCTGAAGGCCAACTTCAGGTCCTTGATGTTGTGGTGTTTACAGCGTTCCTCCTGCGACCGGTGGAAGACGGTCTTGCGTCTCCGCAGGCCGGGCGGGTTGTTGCTCTCGCGCTGCGCGTCCAGTGAAGACTGCAGCTCATTCTGCAGAGTGGCAGAGCGTCGCTGTGCCTCAGCCAGCTTTTCTGCAGAAGAGAAGATAGTCCCAAAGATGTTAGTAATGCTTAGTAATGCTGTGCTGCGACACAGTCCTGTATTTTTGTGATGCATATATCCACTCTTGAAAGGTGTGCAGCACTACTGAAGCCGCCATTTTTCCTCCAACCCCTGTATGTGGAGTTCTGTTCTACTTTGTACTGTTGGTTTAATAAATACAAAGCAACATTTTAGAATATTACTTTTTAAGGGAATGAATGTATTGAATTAAAAGCAAAACAAACAACATCTATAAGCAGCATTTATTTCTCACTCTGTTGTAACCTTTACAGGTACTGTATGTCTGTAGGAGAGAAGAAAGAAAACTCTTTGCTTTAGCTTTTGCCTGAAAAACTATTAGCAACAAAAGTCAAACTGCTGGTTCAGATTGACACCAGGGATCTTGAGGACAGGTTTTAGTAAGAAAATATTACAGAAAACAAGAAGATGACAAAGAAAATCACTTTTATACACCGTGTGTCCTCTGCTCTCCTCTAATCTGTAACAGGAAGTAGGAGCATGGAGACTATTAGACCGTTCTGACATCTAAATGCGGCAGAGCGAGGAGCCATTATCCGGGTCAGACGAGGTTAATGTACCCAGAAAAGAGAGAGAGGGGTGGTGGGCCAGTAGCCGCATTTCATTAACCTTCTTCCCCTCCTCATCTCTACTACCAGGTTCAGCTCCTGAACCATGAGGCCCACATCTTGTCTTCTGCTCTCGTGAATAATCTGGACTATAAAGTACGATAAAGAACCACTCAACTATTGAGTTGCTAAATCCTCAGTTCATTTATTAAACAAAAACAACATTGACAAAGACAACTTTGGCCACACAGCCGGTTTGTGACCAGCAACAGTCAGCTTAGTGTGTTTAGTCGGTGGGCAAGCTGACATTATGGAGGAGGAGGAGACCCTTGGAGAGTTGTGGCCTTTATTTGCAGCTGCTTGCAACTGCCAAGCTCTGAAAATACATACTCGTGATCCCTTTGGGGATTTTCATCCTTCAATTTATGTCTTTTATGAGTCTTGTGACCATGTTTGTGTCATTTCTATTTTGCTGGCTGTGTTGTTCTGAATATTTCCTCTCGGTCTCTCGTGGAAACAATAATCTTAAACCCATCGAGACATGAAAAAACGAATAACTCAAACATGGGATAAGCAGCGATGATGATGTGGAGAGCTCACTGGTGACTTTTAGGCCTTAACACACCCACCCACCCATTCTCCTCATATGAAACCACCTTCCTCACAGAAATGCTTCATCTTCGACACCTGAAGTCACGGTAATCCTTCTGCCTGACTCCCAAGGACAGTAGCTTCAGATTAAATCGGAGGACTCATGTTGGACCTTCACAACAGAGGACATTGTGCGTGCCGCTAATGGACGTTAGAACCGACAGGTGTTGGTGGTTTAGATTTCCACCGGTGTGACTTTATGGAAGAGGTTTAAAGAACCTGTTTCCTCAGCTTTTCGGATGAAAGGACAGTCAATTAACACAGCAGTCTGCAAAAAAATGTATTTTTTGGTGTGTGTTTAACCCTTAGAGATGAAAGTGTCGTCCAACCGGGCGGATTTTAGCGCAATGCAGCAGAATGGTTTTCAGAGGTCAAGGACCCCTTTCAGAGGGATATTCAGGGGAAAAGATGTCTTACGTAGTCGGCCCACCGTTTATCTCCTTCCATCCGCTCGCTTTCTTTCTCACAACCTAGCCTGCTTTCTCACAAATACTACACACTGTACACACACGCCAGTACACACAGTAACTGGCATCAGATAAAGATGTGTGTGGAGGATAAACAAGATGCCTGACAGCCGGAAGGAGACGCTGATGTTTTCACATACAACATTTAGCTAACGTCACTGCTCCGGTTGGCTGAAGAGAAACGGCGACTCATCGACTTACGCGTAGCACGGAGAACATCACAAAGTAAATCTGTCCGTTTGGTTCTAATCCATGTTTATTCATTATAGAAACATTAACATAACAAATGAACCCTCTGAGGACTTTTGATGCTGTTTGCAGAGATAATGAGTTCAAATATAGTGAAATGAATTGCTGAAAAATGAATAAACCATTAAAATGTTATAACTACATTATTGTTTTTTATAGGCCATTTCCTGCTTACATAGTGCAGGAAAAAGGCATTATTACTGTTGTCAGTAATTGACGGATCAGTAAGATGGAAGAATAACAAAGCATCTCCTCTACAGCAATAGTAAGCCTCTGGCGTACAATATGTCAGTAATGGAGACATGCACTGTTGAGGATCAGGCTTCTTTTTTCCTTTAACCTTCAGCTAACGATATCTGCAATGATTTACAGTAAATCCTATTTATTGGATGGTCATGCCTGCTGGTTATGTACAGCTCATATGATGGGATGGGACCAGCCTTGGCCATCTCCTGACCTGTAGTTCCACAATCAGCCTCTAGAGGTTCACACACCTCGTCCAACGTCCTGGTACCAGAATACCAGATCATATCATGGCTTCCATCTCACGTTGCATGGTACAAACATACTCCCTCGCTCCCTGAAATACACACAGGCAGGCCGGCTCGCTCCAACACAACAACTACTGGCTACTTCAATCAGAAGACCAAGAATGAGCACAATGTGTTCCAGTGAAATTACAACTTATAACAGTATTTAATCATGTTCATAAAATATATTACACCACATGTAAAATTATCATAACAACAATCCAATTAAGTTAATTCATGATCTAATCCATCCGTCCATTATTACAGAGCAGAATCCAAAGTGAGCTTCATGTGGGTGTGGACTCATTCTGTCAGTCAATTATATCGCAATATAAAGACCAATAACCCAATAAGCACACTTCAACTGCTTCAGCTAAACTGCTTCCCTACATTTTCTTCAATTTCACAAACTCAGCATGAATCATAAATGTAATTGAAATAAAGAAATACCTGAATAGAATGTGTTGATCTTCAGGAGCTCCTTCTCGCAGGTCTGGAAAAACCTCTCCTCAAACTTGGCGTAGTATCTCTTCACCGTGTCTTCGTCTGTTACTGGAAGAAGAACAAAAGAAGATGATTAGCTGCTCTCTGAAGGGCACAAGTATGTAAGTACACATATTTGTGTGTATGTATATATATATATATGTATATATATATATATATATATATATATATATATATATACACACACATATATATATATATATATACACACACATATATGTATATCGAACAAGTGGAGTATTAAAAACAAAAGGGATAAAACAATAGAAAATTGTACCCCATCTCTCCATGCTTACATTATGAAGCAAATATCTGAAATACTTTTGCCGATAATAACAGCTATGGCTTTTCGTTTTTCTTTTGTACCAGACATTGATAAACAAGAGTTGTCTTGTGTCTCACATATTATTTCCATAAACAGTTGACCTTCTCGTCACTCAGACCTGTTGTGTTACTGAAATCTAAATGTCAAAGACAAAGGAGATTTAAAGTCAGATCCCATAGTGGTACCGCATTGTATACATTTGTTGATATATAAAATGAGGCCTGGCTGCTATGGGTAGATGTAGTGGTTTTCTATTCAACACAGTAATACAAAAAGAGTCGCCCCAGGCAGCAGCCTGTCAATATGCTCTATTCACATACACAAGCATCAGCCTGAGATGAAAAGGTTAAAACTAAAGTTCAACAGCAGCTTCAAAGTCCAACAGCTTTACGAGGATAATAAATGACAAACTGCGTGCACACCCCTTAAGATAATCAATTATAAGTTGATTAAACCGTGTTCTGCTTATGTGTGAGACCTGATGCATGACACCCTTTATTTTACTCTTCGAGTTTATCAAAGTAGCACTCGTTAAACATCGGCATGATCATTACAGTAATAACCGCTGAAAAAATGGGGTCGCATTGTCGTCGTAGTTTAAAAAGATCAAACTTCCACTTAGTAACAACAGTGACTTTTTTTTATAGAGACAAAAAGGGACAGAGCTCTTGTAGTACACTGATAATGGTACACATTCAGTCAGGAGAGAAAAGAGTTTGCAAAGGAGATGAATAAAAAAAGAAAACGTGTATCTAAGACATAGTAAGAAAAAAAGACCAGACAAAAGGAGGAGGACACAATCAAGCCGCCGAGAGACGGGGTGAAAGAAGATGTAGTCTGATAATAAACAGAGAGCGACAGAAAAGTGCGCAGATGGTCTGCAATCTGCCTCACACCTCTACACAATTGCACCAGGATCAGTTGCATTCACAACTCTTGCAGCGCTGCGACGACGCGGCGCTCAGTCGCTACACAGCAGCTGACGGGCCCGCCGGCTGGCTGCTGCAGGGCGAGCGGACGGATGACTGTTTGGATAAAGGGACGCGCGCTTCACTGCAGACTGATGCAGTTTAGCAGTAGCGGATGACGGAGAGCCTGCCGTCAGAGGCCTGACAGAGTGACTGATGGGCCGACACGCTCCTCAGTTACACCTGACTGCGAGGATCAGACTGAGCTGAACTGTAATTCAAAGTAAAAGGTTACGCAGCTAATGAACACTTTGTATGAAGGAGCACTGAAGGATGGACACGTAGAGCAGCAGGAGGGTAAAAGATGAGGACCCGGTGAACTGTGGATCATTTAACATCTATGTTAGCAATTCATACAACATTGCAGCATGCAACAAATTAAAAACGCTTATCTTAATAAGAAAATGCCTGTCATGAAAGCATCTAAACCCGATATTTGGGCCGAGGACTTTTGTGATTCCTGACGGGAAGATTCTTAAAATGGGGAATTTAAAACCGACTTGATTTCACTTATTCAGGGAAATACACATTTTAACATTCTTTTTTAGAACTGGCCTCCATGTGGAATTGTGGAAAGAACAAACAAATGTTGTTATATGTAATTTCATAACAGTAACGTATGTTCTTTCAGGTTTTTAAAACTATATAACACATTTACAGATACATTGCGGTAAGTGAATATATGCTGTGAATTTACCTTCTTTCTCACACAGATGCTGACTAACAGAGTAAGTTGGTGGATGAAGGTGTAGATGTAAAAGCACTTTGCAGGTGGAGAAGGGGGTTGTGCACCCCCGTCCCTTTGTTTCCTGCCGACCTCGTGCACTACTGAACACGTCCGTGGCGGTGTGCACATGTGAGTACGTGCACGCGTCTCTTTTTTTGTTCCTACGTGTATGTGTGTGAGCTGTGTGAAGTGTAAGAACAAAGGCCCCAGTCAGAGCCAGCTCATCTTCACAGCTGTGTTTTACTGAGGCAGAAGAGAAAAGCCACCCTGCTATCACACCTGCTGAAACTACTCTGTCATATCAGCCGTCTTGTGTCCTTTCACATTTAAACTGATGAGCATTATCAACATTTGATAATAATTTGCTCGCCTCCTAAGATCCAAATGCAACGAAAGCTGATTGCGAACAACATTCAGATTTCATGCAGCTCCTGTTGCTTATACGATTTATTTAATGTAATCTATGTTGTCAGTGTTGTAGTTCGGACAGCTTCTCTTTCAGATGCACAGTATGCGTTCTCATTATCACGAGTCTGGGGGAATGATAATCTAGTCCAACAGCGCTCACCAGAGGGATTTGAAGATAAATAAGACTTTGGACTTAATGGGAAATGAGAGCGACACAATATAAAAGCCATAATATACTTCTAAATCTATAAATACATGCCGCCTCAACAGCACAAAAATATAATTCATCAAACACTGTGTGTTGATGTTGTGTTGACTTCCTACAAAAGCATCCCAAAAGATTTGTTTGTTGCAAAATCACTGTTTCACGGGTAAAGTCACATGTCAAGATTCCTCTTTTTGTTGACATTTCATTGACGGGAAAGAGCCCTTTCCTCCAGGAATGTTAACAGGTCTCTGGGTCTGGTTGCCATGGACGCCGGGATGAGGTAAGCAAAATACTCCCTTCATCAGCATGTAAACTCAGGATGTGTGTGTGTGTGTGTGTGTGTGAGGCCGAGCCAAAGAGATGATGATGGAGTGCCTTGGTAAGGAATAATGGTTCCGTCCCCGCGGGGCTGTGTGCGGTGATATATATGCTTCTGCGTTGTGTGTGCTTGTGTCTTTAAACGGTGTGTTTTAGATTTAGTACTTCTTCACTGACACTTAGAATGTCAACAACAAACACCCCCCCCCCTTTGCCTTCAGAGAACTAAATAGACCTGTGTTTGATAAAGGACCAACCAGGGCGGAGAGTTTCCAGCGGCTGAGGGGTCGAGACTACACATTTAAGATGTAATTTATCTCATGCTACAGAAAAATCTATATTCGCTTTGATTAGATTTAGGAAATTTAACCCATTTAAATCCCCGCCGTGAACTAATAGGAGCAAGCGAGGGTGAGGCCTGTATTTCACTTTTTAACAATTTGTTGATGAATTCATTATATGAAATGACAAATAGCTACAATCAGCTTTAAAATTGAACATGGGAAATTTATAGATTTTTAATTTATGTTGTGTCCTTATGAAACATCTACTAACATAAAATCATGACACAAATTAAATGAAGCTCTTTAAATGTTATCTGTCTTTGATTTAGACCTCATATATGAACTAATAATTGTAAATTAAGTTTATAGAGCCCAAAGTAATGTCTTGATATTATATTTTCAGTTTAAAAACAGCCGCAAAGAAGTAGATATATAGAACTAAACCAGCACACTTTTAGTATTGTTTACACGGATTCATTTTGCATCAACCTACCAATTACACAGACTTAAAATCAGCATAAATCAGCACAACAACTGGACTGTCTGCACAAGCAGGAGATGCAGGGGGCTCAACAGCAGCGTATCAAGGGTACCAAGGGGTTTTGTATTTTAGATAATGAGCCAAACTCGATAACAGAATACATTGAGAAGAGTAGATCCAGTGCAATATAGTGTGCTCATTCAGTGGCTTCCCCTTTTACAGACAGAATTGTGGTGGTGGCTAGAAAAACAACTCTTGACCTACAGTATTCCCAGGGCGACTTGTAGAAGGCCGCCCCCCCCCTCCTCTGCTAACCCCATCTTCTGTAGATTGTATAAATAAATGATGAGACAGCTTCCCCAGAACCATACTACTCTAACCCCCGAAACCCTTCGCGCACACAAACACATAACCAACCCCCAACTTCTTATATTCGCATACAGGCATTCTGTGACGCAAGCCCAAAACACCAGCACATGAATTCTTTAAAGAGACACTCCAATTTGTTGACAGGGAGAGAGAGAGAGAGAGAGAGAGAGAGAGAGCAACAAACTACACAAACCTGTGCCTGTGCATCCCATCCTTCAAAACTCAGACCTGCCTCCAGCTATCTGGGGATGTGTGTCGTTAGAAAGCCTTTTACTCTACTAGCATTATGCTCCATCACCTGTTTCATGCAAGAACAAATCTGTTGAAGTTAAGTCAGGAGCAACAAGGAAAGTCAGACGGCACTGAGAAGAGGACCTAAGCGTTCCTCTGTGTTAGGAGCTCACACGTGGACTGTCACTGGTGTCTGGAGGGAAGAGAGAGGACACCGCATTGCTCGCTTTACAGTCTGCTAATACAAACACATATAAAACACAGACCCCCCCCCCCCACAACCCCCACACCCCCAGACACACTTAAAGTACATCTTCCTATTTCCAAGCACTATTTATCTCGTTTAATAACTCCTCCCTGGTGGAGCTGAAGATGCCATTACATTAAGAGTGTCGCTGTGTTAAGCTTTCTTATCTCTTCCCTCCCGGCACAGAGGTGTGAATCACCGACCAACATAAAGACAAACTGAGCTATAAAAGAGAATAGGATTAGGCTAATATTAATCCAGAGATATAGTGTCTTCTACATCCTCTGGTGCCAGACTTCAAGGAAGGAAATACCAGAAAGATCCCCCCCCCCGCCCCCCCTCCTCTCTCATTCCTCCATCCGGCCTTTCTTTTCCCCTTATTCCCATTCGGCCCTCCAGCCACAATTAATTCCACCAATCATCTCTCTCATCGAGGCCAAGGGAGCATTAAGAATGCACACTCACTGGGTTTGACTGCCAGC